GTTTTATAAGAATAAAGGGCTTGTGTACTCAAACCAAAAATCACCCTTGAAACCTTGTGGCAAACAAAAACTGTAGGTGCTACAGCCCATCAATGAAGTGATCAAAACTGATTTCTGAAATCTCAGTCAGCATTACTACTATTTGGTCTTCCCTCTTTGCCCCCAGACAAATTTTAGCATAGTCATTAGAAGGGTCATACACCGAAGATGGAAGACAGAAGATGCATTACAGCATCTTTCTGCAAAATGTTAAGATGTTTTGTAAAAGAAATCGACTGGCCCAATAGCCATATATTTACAAATCATTTATAACAACATGGCTTTATCCGTCAAGGATAACAAAGACCTTCTTAACTATATACACACACATCATTAAAGCAGGACAGTGAAAAGGTTCAAGGTGTCAAGTTGTGGTTAATAACACCAGAGCAAACCCCCATGACGCAATGCCATGGGTCATTTAAAATATCAAACATAACAGGAAGGATATTTTTAGGGTCTCAAAAGCATGTCCCTTCTCAAGAAACAATCTGCAGGTATTGCAATACATGTATTTTAGAAGGGATAAAAGGCTGAATCAAACCTGCTGAGATTCAAACCTGTAGCTCCAAGAAGTCTAGGCATTGCGACCCTGGTGCCTACATACCTACACCATCCACAGGGTTTGTCATCTAGAACTGTTTTAATTTCAGAATGAAACAAAAACTGTAGCTAACATCAAGGCTTGCCGATTTGTGTTCTCATCAGATGCTTTGAGCTAATGTGTTGGCACAAGGTTTGGCCTTTATGTAAGAAGAGATGAAGTAAATCTGTTTGTGTCCAAAATCAAAACACATACGTCCTCCTTCTTTTCCTTTTTCTTCTTCCTGGGATGAGAGTCAGATTCTTGGGAGGGGGCATTGAGCTCGCTGGAATATTCTCGTATTAACACTTCAATAGCCCCTTTAATTAGCTGGTCTCTTCTCTTTGCTTCCTCATCAAGAGCTTCCTCATCTTCAGCTGTAGGTTCTGGCCGTGAATTCTAGGAAATAGCACAAGTTTTTTAATTCAAGCATATGGCAGGAATAGTATCTGAAAAGGGTATATCCTGCATTAGCTTTACTACATACTATTAGATCTTTGAAGAGTTACATGTACGTAACAAGTGTACCTAACATCATTTAACTAGAGGCTATGCTCTATCCTGGAATAACGGAGGACTTTTATAAGTGTAATTAGTGATTGTACAGAATTAGTGCTATCTGGTGGAGCAGAAGAGATAGGAAAACAAACACCATAGCAAAGACAAAAAGCCCTTAAATTAACCATAGTGTCCTCCCTAATTTTTATAAGACATAAAGCACTTCAGCAGCTCACTTTTGACTTCATTCTTCTGGGGAACTCATAAAGCTACCAACAAATAAAACTAATCACTGACACACAGGGCTAGGACAGAAAGAAAACATTTCGTTTGGTACAGTACAAATTCATAACTAAAAAAAGATCTGTACACCACAATATTTATTCATTTTAGAACTTATTATGGAATTGCGAACTGGCTTTAATACTGTTTTAAATGGTTTATTGTATTGTTTTAAATGTTTTTGGTGATTTTATGTAAGCTGCCCTGAGCCGGCCTTGGCTGAGAGGGTAGGGTACAAATGTGAAGAATAAACTTAATGCAATGAGGGCAACATGATAGCTTTGTCATTTTTGTCATCACATGTCAACAATCATGGGAAAACCATTTATGCCCAGCCTTCCTCCCCAACAGGGACCAAAAGTGACTTAACACTGTCATCCTGTCTTCCATTTTATCCTCACACACCACCCTGTGAGGTAAATTAGGCTAAGGGTGTGTGATTGGCCAAAGGTCACTCAGCAGGCTTCCATGTCAGAGCAGGGATCTGAATTGGGATTTCCCAGACCCTAATCCGGAATTCCACCCTACAGCCTGCTTCAGACATTGCAGATTCCTACAGAAAAGTTACCTGTTACAGAAAACAGATCTCTGTATGTAGGTCATAATGTACACTATTCTACATGAATGTAAATTTCTGTTATGTCCATGCAGTGATGCAAAATATTACACTATGTCCTATACAGAGGCATGAAATAATTACTGTTTTCCTAGACACATTCATGTTAGAAACGCAGGACGAATGAAGCAGCAATACGTATCTGCTTAAAATTTATTATTTAAACCATTTTAGTCTGCTTCTCCACAGGTTCAATGTAGCTTACAATTCCAAGCCTGGAATCAAACTCAAACACAGTACAAATGCTAAAGAATAAAAAGCAATATATTAAAACATCCTAGTGCCTGCTCACAGATAGCCAGCCAACTGGAGCATTCATGTTTCCATTTACAAAGGAAATCTGAGTTTGAGTGACTGGAGTTTGCCTATTCGCAGTCTAAACCTGACTGCAAGGAAAGCCTAAATTAATACAGAATAAAAGTATCTGTATAACAATATATTTTTTAAAAGATTACCTCTGTTCGACCAGATATTCTTCACTACTATTAAAAGTTATTTTTAAAATAAATTGTTATTCAAAAAGCCTGGACATCGCCAACTCTTCCTTTTTATAGACTTGAATTAAACTCTGGCAAAACTTTATAATTTTTTAAAAAAGGAATCTCACCTGAGAATCCAAGGTATGTGCACAGTCAATACCAGGCCGAGGAATGGGTAAGGGCAAGGGACTCAAGAGAGCAGCAGCAACTAAGAAGGAGGGGTAGGAAATAGGAGGGGATTTCAGCTGAAACAGAAGCTGTGAGGTCAAGGAGCAGTAGGCTGAAAAAACTAGAAGGTGGTAGTGACTAGGGGATATCAAAAATAATTCGGGATATAAATGCTGGTCAGGAATGGGGGGTTGATTAGATTATCTTCCCTCTTTTAAATAAAACTGCATTTTTACTGAATAAAAAAAGCTTTAAATGGGCTGGAATGTCAAAGCTGTCTGTGTCAGCAACCTAAGGACTGCATGAAACAGCAGTATCATTATATAAAAGGACAAGTGAACGTTTCCCCTGTTCTTCAGGACATTCAAGACATAGGAGTTTCTCTACAGCTGGTCAGAATCACCAAAATCTAGGCACTTCAGAAGGCCAGCCTCCAAATGTCTACTATTGCACAACAGTAAATAAATTATTCCCTAAATCTTGACTCATAAAAACTATTTTCTTTAACTGTTTATCAGTAAAACAGAAAAGATAACGAAGTGCCATTCACTGATGGCCTGAGTTCCAAAAAGATACTAGTCCTAGAAACTGAGTTCTGAAGAATACTGGGTATACAAATCAGAGTGAAGCAAGTACATTATCTCATTTAAGGAAAGGTAATGATTCTTCAATGGTGACTTAATGAATCACATATGAAAAAGTTGCTCTACTATAGCCCAATCTCATCAGATCTCAGAAGCTAAGCAGGGTCAGCATTTGGATGGGAGACTACCAAGGAATGCCAGGGTTGCTACACAGAGGCAGTCAATGGCAAACCACCTGAGTCAGCTGCCTTGAAAACTCTATAGGGTCTCAATACGTCAGCTGTGACTTGATGGCAAAAAAGGGCTTCTAATGTCCTGGCCCCACTGGTGGATCTCCTAATGGCACCTGGTATTTCTGGCCACTGTGTGACACAGAGTGTTGGACTGGATGGGCCTTTGGCCTGATCCAACACTGGCGTCTCCTATGTTCTTATTCCTGTCCAGATTCCTGCCCTTCTGTACAAAAAGGTGATTCTTGCTATATTACTACTAGTTTCACTGTAATGAACATGTCATTTAACCCAGCATAATCTCTCTAATTGTTATACAAATCAAGAACAGCAGAGTCAAAAGATAGATGAATATGTCCAAACTACCTTAAGAATTTCCCTACTGGCAAAATATGCACAACGGCTCCTTAATCATTTTTACACCATTCCTTATATTTATAATAGCTCTACTTTTCTATTCCAGGCCAGAAACCAGTTTTATGAAATGGCCACTCTGAGAATGGGATGGAGGACTGTGTTCAAAACCCACTAAGGACTGACAGAAAATCCAACCACCGCAGACGTAATTTTCTTTCATATGGTTCCCTTTCACATGGTTAGGGGTGCTAAATGGGCAGCTCACCTTGTTTTTGGACACTGAATTCTCCTTGACCCAATTTTAAAATGTGCTTATTTTGCCTGAGTGTATCTCTCTGTCTCTCACTCTCTCACACACACACATTTGGGCACTGGGGATACCTGAAAGCTTGTGTCAGGGAGCACAGTGCCACACCACGCTACACACTAAGTCTGAAACAGCCACTGTTGGTACTTTCTGAACAGCTTCCAGATTCTCACTCCACTCTGGATGTCAAGGGAGGTGGCTGACAGGGGGATGGGTGACCGACTCAGTCCAGACAGTAACTTGTGGTGGAGGCAACAGTGGCAAGTCAGCAATTGGGATGGCAGTACCAGGAGAGCCAGTGCCATCCCACCTATCTACCACCACAAGCTTGCTTCCTGCACACCCCAGGAAGCGAACAGATGCCTTAATTGTGGGAAAGAAGACAAGTGGTGTCTGGCATCAAAAGGGGAATACTGAGCAGCAGACTGATGAGCATCAAGCAGCATCGAGGAGTGTCCACATGTATGTCTGGGTACCTCTTGTAAATGTCAGTGGAGGGTATATAAAGAATGCAACTGTGTGTATGCAGGGACGTACTTGCATCTCAAGTGTGCATTTATAAAATGGATAAACTTTTTAGATCCCTGACTTAACATGCAGGCCAGTCACTAATGGCTGCCTGGGTATCACCAGTGGAAGCCTCCAGTTCATTGTGTGTGAGAAAGACAGACAAGCTGAACTGATTAGGTGCAAATAGAATACAATCCAGACTCAGTACAAGGATCCAATAATTAAACAGCCTGTGCTTTGTAACTGGCTTTTATGTTTTTTCTTTGCTTAAATATCATTATTGGGATAAATGTGAAACGAATACTAGTTGAGTGCTTGCAGAAGTACCACAGGGTGTAGCTGCCTCAATATGAAACTGCTTTTCTATTAAGGTTACTTGTAGGTTATGCAAGACTGATTATAGTTACTCTAAGTAAAAAAGGCACTTCATTAATGCTAAGAGGCCATTGTCTGTAAAAGCAAAGTCTAGAAAATCCTAACTCAAGTTATAGTGGTGGCCACAGGACATGTGTTTTTCCACAGCAAAAATCTGCACTGTTTTGTTGTAATTATGTGCAAATTCTGACAAAAATGTTTGTTTTGGCTTTTGTTAGTTACAATATGCTAAGGGAACAAGCAATGAAATTTTCTGTGCAACTGTTTACATGTTTTCTATAGGTACTTTTGCACTACTCTGAAGTTACATCAAAGTGAACAATTTTCTAAAAATCCCAAATTAAAACTTCCCTTTCTTTTTAAAATGTGGAACTTTCTGGAAACTCAACACAGTGTACTAGTTAGGATGTCAGACTAGGATCTGGGAGACCCGAATTGAAATCCCCACCCTGCCATAAAGTCTGCTAGGTGACTGTAGGCCAGTCACATACTCATCCCACCCTACCCCTTTATATATGGTTGTTTTGAGCATAACATGGAAATAGGGAGAACAATGTACACCACCTTGAGTTCAATTGAGAAGTGTGGGATAATAATGTATCAAGTAAATATTTAGAATTTGTTCCATTGTTTTCTGATCTTAACAAAATATCTTCAAAAAGTGACTTTTAAGTTCACGTATATATCAATTGGCAGCCACCTAAAAAGTGTTCTGTAACTTTTGTGGATTTATGTATTGCTCTCTGAAATGAACTAATTTGTCCTCAGAACCAGGGGTCATTTGGAGCCGCCGGAGCATTGCTCCGGCAGCCCAGGAGCAGACACAAATGGCAGTGGTGGCAAGCCCCGCCCCCAGCTCCCCACGTTCCTTCACTCTAGAGTCGCAGCAGCGGTGCGACCTTTCCATTGTATTCTATGGGCCCAATAAAATATAATGGATAGATTGCGCCGCCATTGCGGCGCAACTCTAGAGAGAAGGGGTTTCAATCAATCTAATTTATTGCAGCAGGAGCCAGTAAAAGAGATGGGGTTCTTTAAACCCTTTCTCTCTTTGCCCCCCCCCCCCAGCCCACCTTAGCAGGCCGGCTGGGAAAGGGGAGGGGAGGCTTTTGAAGATGCCTCTCCTTGTGACATCACTTCCAGTGATGTCAGGGGGCACAGCATATGCTAATGAGCTATTATGCTAATAGTCTTATGCTAATGAGCTCCTGCCGCTCTTTTTTATGCTCTTTTTTTTACTAGTCTTTGAGGACTAGTCTCAAGCTCAGTGCTCCTCATGTATAAAAAGTTTTCAGAATGCTTCTTTGTAAATGCTTGGCACCTTGATGCTATACTGCATGTATGTGTTTTATTCATACACTCACTTCTTGAGCTGTCTGCTCCACAAGTATGTTCCTGCTTTCTGCTTATGACACACTCATAGCCTGCTATGGCTGATGTTTTATATCTTATGTAATAAAGTGCACAGGAACAAACATTTACTGAACAAAGCATTTTCTGGGATTTCATCCCCATAAAACTATCCCAAAGGTCTATCCAAATACCAAAAATTTTATTTCAACAACCTGCAATCCTGTTCTGGATTAGCAACAGGAAGGGGGGACAGGACACATGGTTTTTATCCTAACAGCCAGATTTTGCCTCAAGTCTCCAACTGTTGATCTCTAATGTGCAGCTATCAGTAGAGAAATTGGATTATAAACTTAAGTAGAAAATGCAGTCTGTTCTAAATTGGGGAATTTAGGAAAACTGGGGAAAAACTAACCATGAAAATCAGACACAATGGAAGTACTTAGTACTTGTCTTAAGAGACATAATTTAAAACAATAGCACATCATAAGCAAAGCAGGCACAAAAATGAATGGCACATAATTCCAAACTAGTTTAATGGTAGTTCAGTTGCTTCTCCCCTCTTAGTTAAGAGTAGTCATATGAAGTATACATACCCCATTGGAAGCCCTTTTCTTTGCCTTCCACTCATCCAGTTGAGCCTTTGTCTTGGCATCAACTTTCACTAGGAGCTTCTTCTCTCCAATTTGAAGATCATGTAGTAATCTGAGTGCCCGTAGTGTAGATTCTGGTTCTTTATACTCGCAAAATCCAAAGGCTGGAGGTGAATAATTTAGATGTTTTAAAAATATTTAATTAAAATTACACACAATGCAGGAGTATGCAGATGCACAGGCTACATTGAGATATCACAACAACTCATGGTTTGTGTAAGATATCCTTGTTTGCAAATCAACTATGGTTTGCAAGTGCAAGGGAGCTGCTATACCAATCACAACAGGTACAAAATGCAATTAACAAAGTGGCTAAAATCTGGTTTGATGCCAACCCACAAATCCATGTTTACTGGACCATATGCAGTCTTTGGATCAAACCTTGGTTTATCTTCATAACTGAATGCAGACACACACACAAAGTGCCTTTTCAACAATTTTAGCAGTTCGCTTTATGAATCAATAAACTGCATATTTCAGAACATTTAGAAAATAATATTTAAAAATAATTACTATACTATAAATTCTGGTACCTACAGGTGGTGGGTTCTACAGACCATTTAAGTCACATCTATCCTGTGGTATTACCTTTCAGTTAAAATTCCCATTACAGTCATCCAGCAATTATAGTTCAAGAACACAAGGTTTCTGCAATGTAACTGGCTGCAGAGGATACCAAATGTGAGCCCTACTGAATTTTGCCACCCATACCCATGCCCGGTGAATCTGCTAGGGCAGCTACATCAACAAACATTGTGCCGGCAAAATAAACTTGGCCAGCGCAGCAATACCAGATCAAAGCCCTAACTTGCCATGTTGCACTAACCAACCCTTGCCCTTCATCTTATATACTTGATAGCTGGCAGAGTGGTTCACAGGACTGGATCATAAATGCTGGAGGCTAAAAAAAGGTTAGTCCCATACTGATTGAGTGTGTGCAATGGAAAAATACCAGTGAAGTCGCAAACCTCTTATTTTAACATTGAGGGGATAAAGCACATACCTTGTAGTTTTCCAGATGCTCCTTGAACTCTCTTCCAACTCAAAACCAAACCACATTTCTGTAAATACATATATTTTATGCTTACTTAGCAAATGCATCTATGCATATCAGGGCAAAACTAAGAAAACACTCTCAAAAGTATCCCCATAGATTTAACTGAAGTAAGTCCTCCAGTTCATCTGATTGCCATGAGTTAGAATCATATTTAGTGTGGCATATCCCTGTGTCAAGTATCATTCTGCTACCCACTGCCCCCAACCACCCTACTGCCTCCAGATTTGCTTCTCTATATACATCAGACTCCTTTAAAAATCTATACTCCATCATCTCCCAAGAGTGTGAATAAAACAGGCATCTATTTTAAAAGTCTGATTTTTTTAAAAAAAACCCTATTATAGTGAACATCACTAAAAATGAATTCTGACTTCATTTGTCTTCAGACTGAATCATGAACCAAGAGACTGGATTAAAAGCTGCTTTAGGAACTATTAGGAAAAGAAATGTAAATTCTGAGGTGAACATTATAAATGACCATAATTCATACATGCATTGTATTGGGGCTTCCTTCTGGCAAGTAATCACTGGCTCTAGCATCCATAAGGCACTCTTATGTGCATTATCAGGATCACACCGGGAGCCCACAAAGGGGGATCTTGTACTCTTGTTGCATGGCCCTTCAGCTAACTGATCTCTGTAATGCATTTTGTTATCATATTATTAATGACTCTACTAATCAAACTGTCTGGACACTTACTTGCTATTTCATACCCCTTCCACTCTTTGTGTATGTGTGGCTGAGCTCAGAGAAGCAGCAGGAGACGAAGCTGCTAGAGGGGTGAGTTTTTTAAATTTGCTTTCAGCTGAGGAGATTTAGCTGAGGGTACTGTGTGAGAGGATAGTGTTTGGGAGTGTATGGGTGAGTTTTAAGTTGTTGCAGAGTCATGGCTGTTTGAGAAAGGGTGAGAAAGGGTGATTTGTTTGACTGTAATTGGATTGCCTGGGTGTAATTTGAATAGCTGCTGGCCCTGCCCTCTGCTGGGTGAGGCTTCTATTTAAGGCAGCACCTAATTATTTATTTATTTTTATTTATTTAAGTATTTTTACCCCGCCCTCCCCACAAGCGGGCTGAGGGACTCTTAGACTAGGGGCTCTGTAAGAAGCCCAGGAAGGGCCAGAAAGCCAGGGCCCTAGTCTCCTTGTATTCCCAGTAAAGTAAGTAGACTTCTATAAGGAGGGCCACATAAATACGAAGGGTTTTAAAAGGGGGATTATATATATTCATTTTTTAAAAAGCAATTATGAAGGCAGAATGGCAGCAGGGGGTTGGGGGCTATCCAGTGTTTTGCATGGAGTGTCACACGTATGACTATCTGCCCACTGGACAGAAGTCTTGGATGTGTGCCTGGTGCAAGAAGCTCCTAGTTCTCAGGGAACAAGTTTGCACCCTTAAGGCCAAGGTGGCTGACTGGGAAAAGCAGAGACAGTCAGTTAGGCGCATGGAGAAGACTTTCAGGGACTTGCTACATATGTCCAACTCTGAAAATGGCAGCCCTGCCGCTGTCAGGAAGCATGAGGGTCGAGAAGAAACAGGGCACCGTGCTGAGGATAAGGGGAATGTGCCCTCAGAAGGGACCTCTTCTTCAGCTGGTTCGCACCAAGGAACCACCCCAGAGGTGGCACTCAGAGCTCTCTCTGTGGGCACGCGTGCCATCGCCCCAGCCCATCATTAAAGTGTCGAATTCTCTGCCGAATAATTTTAAGTAAATGGAAGCATTTGGGATTGCTTTCCTTACTTTGTTTGGATCATCTTAAGTAAACATATGAGTTGTTTTTTCTAAAGTAAAACCACAGTATTCAGGTTAAATTGCCGTGTTGGCACTTTGCGATAAATAAGTGGGTTTTGGGTCGCAGTTTGGTCTCTAAAAGGTTCTCTAAAAGGTTCGCCATCACTGCTTTAGAGGGTGCACTCTGTGGCATTGTACTCCACTTAGGGCCCTGTCCTCCCCAGACTCAATCCCCAAAATCTCCAGGAGTTTCCCAACCTGGATCTGGCAACCCTCCCCCCCCATCCCCCACAAGTAGCCGGGGGGACCTGGCAACCCTAGTAGCAAACCATAGTTTATCTCATGCCTTTCCTAAAAACTATTCCCATCCCAATCCTACTTTTTTTCTCCAATACTGTTAACTAGTTAAAAACTTTTCAGTCCATACCAATTAACTGGGCAACGTATGTTAATCTAAAGAAACTCAACAACTTAAAAACTGCAGATAGCAGGCAACGTCCCAATACAAACATTACATACATGCATCATCTAAAAACAGCACACATGCTTTTTCTTCAAAATTACTATGTTATTCATATGGAACTGCATGCAGATTTCAGGAGCACGTATATGATTGTGGTCACTTCTTCCTCTCATACCTCTCATCCAAGTTGTAGATTTTAGCATCTGGGGTTGGTGTGTGTGTGGGTGATGTCATTAAGTAATACAAAATTATCTGTATTATTACACCAATAGGACAAATTTTAAGAAACTATTCCACTTACCGCAAGAAGCTGTCTTATCAGCATGTCTGAAGCCTTCTCTGATATGTTCCCTACAAAGACAGTGGTTGTGGGACCACTATTCTCATCATTTTCCTTATTCTTTAGACCTGGATGTTCCTTCCTAACTCCCATGTGCTTTCCAACCATCGATACTGTGGTTGGAACCAATACCTAAAAAAGAGGGGGAAAGACTTTAATTTAATTACAGTAAAGTTGCCCAGAAACGCTACATTTACAAACTGATCAATAAAGGGATATTCAACACACTACCTCCTTAACATGATAAAAGGAAAGAACCACTATCAATGTTATTTAGTAATATGCTTGTTTTAAGGAATTTCCTATTAAATAGTTTGCCTGAACAAATTTTGTTTACAAGGTTTACTGTCTTCAGGCAATTATTTCTTGATCTGATTCTACTTCATGCAAAATAACAACACCCACAGCCAGAAAATATTTTTAATTACTGAATTGAATCTCTAATGTGAAACAGATTTCTTATACATTCAAACATGCTAGATCTTTAAATCTATAACTTTATGTGAGTCCTTTACAAACTGGGAATGCCAGCCCCAAAGCTATCACTTTTACCTAAATTAGGAGATTAAAAAATGAGACTGAGCAGTGTCTGAGAAAACGATCTCCCTAAAAATCACTTTCTGCAAACTGTGTGCAAGTCTTCAAATCACTTCCCCCTCCCCACTACTGATGCAAATACCCACCACCTTTCCTTTGTTTGCTGTAATCATGACATCTTGTTTTATTGGCCTCAATGCTAACCAGGCTTCCCAACTTAACCAGGTTTTTGACAGGTTTGCAAATCCTAGTTGAGAACCACGGTTAGCATCAAGCATATAGAAAGCTTCCATCACACTGACAGCATTAGTGTAGATATAATTTTAAAAGCCTGTAAAAGCTAAGGGGTAAGAATCTGTACTAGAGAAGGAAGAAAATATATCCCCAGTTTGCTAACTATAATGTACAGGTAAACATTAGTACATTTGTAGCCCAGCAGACATGACAGAGATGACTGTGCTCACAGTCACCACCAGTACTTTTTACTATATGATACTTACAGTTGGTGCAGGAGCCATAATACCCATTGGCACCGGAATCATTGGAGTCCCTGAGAAAAGAAGAGGTTATATTAATACAGCAAAGTTGACCAGAGGTTAAGCTATTTTTCAAAGCAAATACTTAGCAAACAGAACTAACTGTAACAGTAAAGTGCTCCAAGGATAGAAGTACTCCCCATTAAATTATGGCACAAAAATAAATTTTAAAATGAAATGATTAACTACTGATTAGTATAACAAGAGTTTGGATTAACTGATTAGATTCAGATATAACTTACCAGGAGGTACAGGTGGAGGAAAACCTGGAAACTGTGGTGGTGGGATTCCAGGTGGTAGTGTCGGGATACCCATAGGAGGGCGATTCAAGTGAGGTGGAAAAGACATTTTTAGTAGTAACCTAGAAAAAAAGATGGACCTAATTAGCTTCAGAACATGTGCTGCTCTACAGTTTGCTTACATTTGTACTTCATGTTGTCCCAAAGGCTCAAAATGGGCAACTTATTAAAAACAGGTTGAAACTGTTTGTGTGTGTAGGGGGGGGAGTGATTTATAATGCCACCCTAAGCAAAGTTACACTCTTCTAAGCCTACTGAATTAAATGGTGCAACTCTGCCTAGAATTGCACTGTTAACCACTTGTAAATATTGGGGTTGAGACACATCCTTCCTTTACCTGATCCTGAGAGTGAGGATTAGGGGCATCCACTTTCAACACTATCAATTTAATGCCATATGACAAAGTCAGAAAGGGCATCATTATGATTAGTTATCGTTTTGGAAGTATCTGAACACTTCAAATATTGCCCTCCCAACTTTCTCATATAAAATGATACTTTTTTGATTATCCACAGAAGCACAAGAGCAGGGAGGGAGAGAGGAATGGCCGCTAGCTCCATGGTGCACCAACCAGCCTTTTAAACTTTAAATTACCATTATTTTCAATGGGGATAGACCTGGCCCCCAGAGATTCAAGGCCTTGTCTTCCTGTTAAAAATAGCATATCTTTAAAGTTTAAAAAGTCAATGTACCATGTACCAGCTATGAACAATGAAAGGCTTCTTGACCCAATTCTTGATATTTCCGATATTTATCAGGAGAAAAATACTTGAACTGTGAAACCCTTTCACAGTATTGGACAAGTATATGGAGACACTGTATCAGGCCTGCTCCACATCATTGACTGTAATGCTCTTTAGATCTATAGTGCAGCCTCATATAGAATAGTGTGAACATTTCTTGTTACCACATCTCAAAAAAACATATCACATAAATGGAAAAACTGGGCTTTAGAAAAAAGAAGATGGGGTGGGGGGGAGATAGAATAAAGGATTATAAATTTATGGGGCGAAGAAAGCAGACAGAACCGTTTTCCTTCTTCTGTAACACCACAACCCAGGAATATCCAATGAAGTTAATGGTCAATACATCCAGAATGGGCAAAAGTATTTCTTCACTTATTGAGTAGTAGAAAAGAGCAAGAATCAACCAGCACCTTTAAGACTAACAAAATATGTGGCAGGGTATGAGCTTTTTGCTCACTTCTTCAGATACAGCTAGAATGGGAGTCCATCAGTCCTATTTATTGGAAAGTGGAGTGATTTCAGGTGTTGAATGTCATTAGCAGGCAAATGACAATAGCAGGTGGATAACAATAGCAGACATGATTGGATTAGGTGAGATAAGCAGAGAAGTAATAGGCATGGAGAAATCAGCATTGATAATGAGACAGGAAGTCTAAATCTTGATTCAATCCAGGTGGATACATTTGAGCTTCATTTTCAATTGCAATTCAGCAGTCTCTCTTTCTAATCTCCCTTTGAAATTCCTTTGTAAGAGAATAATTCACTTATTGATTAAACTGGAAAATTTGCTCTAGTGGATGTGATGGCCACTAGCCTAGCTAGTTTCAAAATGAGATTAGACAGATTCATGGAGGAGAGGTCCATCAACAATCATCATCCAAGATTACTAAAAGGAACCTCCACATCCTGAGGTTGTAGACCTCTCTAGCACTAGGAGGCAAAATCAAGGGAAGGCCTTGGCCTCTGTGTCCTCTTTGTTGGCCCCCTGGGGCAAATGGGTGGCTACTGCATGGAACAGGACCACCAGACTAGATAAACTATGGATGTGATCTAGCAGAGCCCCTCTTATACGTTCTAATGAGCTTACTACAAAGTGGATCATTGTGCAAGAAAGGCAGTGAACATGTTGGAATATTATGACACAGTTTTTTTACCTGAAAATATGTGACATTTCTGCATCTAATGTGCAGAAACTACCAACCTCCTAAAATTCAATACAATGCCATTCTATATCATGACAAGTAGAAGAAGAGTGTTTCACAATCCCTTTAAGAAAGAACATCTTGGGATTTAAAACCACACAAGTCCTTGACAGTTCAGCTTTCCTTCAACATGCAACTTCCCACTGTATAAATAAATCTCACTACTCAAGAGTATGGAAACTTAATATTTGAAACACTCAGAAATTAAATGATTCAAGCACTTGGCTTTAAGTTTAGTGGATGGATTTGTCCTCAAGGTAAACAAAATCAAGTAATTTTTACATATTGGTATGTACATAAATTAGTATATTGGTTTCCCTTTCTCGAAAGCCAGCCGAATCCGACTCTGGGGGGCGGTGTTCATCTCAGTTTCCAAGCCGAAGAGCCAGCGCTGTCTGAAGACTTTTTCCGTGGGCACGTGGCTGGCATGACTAAACGCCAAGGCGCACGGAACGCTGTTACCTTCCCACTGAAGCGGTACCTATTTATCTACTTGCAATTTCTTGCTTTCGAACTGCTAGGCTGGAGAAGCTGGGGCCAGAGATGGGAGCTCACTCCATCACGCGGCACTAGGGTCTCAAGCAGCCGAACTACAGACCTTCCTGTCTGCAGCTCAGCATCTTAACCTCTGAGCCACCGTGGCCCCTAAATTAGTCTATAGCTACCATAATTTAACAGAAACCTATATACTAGAACAGCACAGAGTACAGGTAGGCTTTTGGGTTGGGGGCTGAAAGAAACTCAGTGTCTACCTGTAAAGGTGTGCTGGCAAACAACAGGGGGAAGGGGAGAAGATATCAGATGTGTACCTGGACAGACACACTGGGAACAAGCAAAGCCCAGCAGCACTACAAGCCCCTCAGGGACTCATCTCAGACCCAACTAGTGGCTCTACAAAGCCAGGAGGTGATGATGGACACAAACCATGCCCTTTACCATGTCCCACACTGCTGCCCGCAGTGGTGATTTCACCAGGCTTGCTTGCCATGGTTGCTCAGAAAAAGAACAGGCCTTATGTGCCCAGCATAGTGGACCGGTACATCACTGTTTGGCATGTATGCCATTCACTGCCCACCACTGGCACACAGTATCAAAACACAAGTGATTAAAGGTGGGGCTGCACTGTCTCTCGTTCTTGCATCCACCACTGCACCTGGAAGTACAAGACAAGGCAGTTCCCAAGAGTGAACTACATGTGATGCTACAAGTTCTGTGAGTGGAGCTCCCAATTTTTCTTTCTAAATTGCAGTTGCAAAGGGTACAGACTGAGATTAGAACCACAAAAAGGGGGGGGGGACTCGACCCAAGATATGGCTGTGCTATATGAGGGTCAAGCTGACAAAGTTATTAGAAAAATACAAATATTTATTATGGTGTACCCATTAGTAAAAAATAAAATAGGTTAAAAGAAATGATTGCTACTTTTGATGGAAGAGACACACATCCAGACACACCGGGTAATTGTTACAATTTGGAGAGCGTGTGCAGTTACCATGAGAGATTATCCATGGCCTACTGTGTAAACTTTTAACAATTGCACATCACATGAGAAAGCAACACCCGGCTCTAAAGAAAATCTTTTTTATATATTGATTTCTAGATTCTGGATGTGTGTTGTTTTACAATAGTAATATTGACCACTGAAGAAGGCCCTAAGGGGCCAGAACGCGTATGGTCTACTGGTCATAAAATATACCCATCAATTGTATACGTAAAACTATCAGCTCTGCGTGTAAAAAGTTTTAAGTGTCTGATATTTGGATCATTTCCTTTAACCTATTTTATCTTTTACTAATGTTTACAACATAATAAATATTTGTATTTTATAACTCATTTTGTTAGCTTGACCCTGAGATCAGAACCACATCACTGGGCAACAAATGCTTTCTCCTCACAAAATATTGAAACAGCCCCACATAAGTTGGTGCAAACATACAGGAACTCTGAATGAGGGGGTAAACCTCCCACCTAGGTTCATGAGACAGGTTGGAGGTCCAAGTGGTTGCTTTTTTGGGGAGACTAAAAAGGGGGCGAGGTTCAACCACAGAATACCCAGCATCCCATGTAATGTGATTTTGGTTGCTTCAATAACTGTGCCCTATTCACAGTAATTCATAAGTGGGGAACCCACAAGGAGTTGGCAGGGAGGGGGCATCTAATTTTTACTTCCCTGCTATTTCTTCTTTTCCCTTCCCTGAAAGCCATAGCTTGTCCCCCCTCCCTGCTTTCTTCTCTCCTTTGCACCCCTCAGCTACCCTACCTTTATCTGCCCCATCTTCAGCTTCCTCTCCCCCTTGCATCCAAGAAACCTAGTTGTGTGGAACCAGCTGCTGGGCTGGACCAGCTGTGCAGTACGGAACACACAGGACTTCCAGAGGGTACCTAATTTTGCCCTGTAGACTCTTTCCTTCCTCCTCACAACCCTCTGATCCCCTGTCCCCCAACTTTTTTTAAAAAAAAATAATTCTGATTTTTCTGCAAACCTAGGGTTTTATTGGGGTTCATAGGAATATCTGTCTTGTCTGGTCACAGCTCCAGTCTCTGAATTTAACCATCCACATAGTTGGCCACACTGAGAATTAGAGCTATTGATGATGCATTCTACAAGAGGCTGCCTTTGAAAAGTATCCAGAAACTGCAACTAGCTCAGATTGTGGTGACTGGGCTATGAATTAGGCCAGCACATGGATCAGATGTCAGTTCACATCAACTCAGTTAGCTCCTGTTCCTTTATGGGCTGAATTTAAAGTGCTGTTTTTAAACTTTAAAATCTTTAATGTTTAATGGATACAGAACATTAAAGGATCACTTATTTCCATACAAACCTACCTACATGTTAAGATCTTCCTTTGACCCAATGCTGAAAATTCAGCAAGTCGCTGTGAGAAATAAACAGTGATACTGAGACTATGGAACTATTTGTATTTTTATAATAACTTATTTTGTTAGCTTGACTCTGAGATCAGAACCACATCACTGGGCACCAAATGCTTTTCCCTCACAAAATATTTCTGCAGATAAACCACATCTTCCCTAAAAACCAAGATTCAGCAGTGCTCTTTAGGAGAGCTTTTGAGTTTCATCTATTTTCTGCTACTGCTGTTTCTGCTCTTTTGTATTCACCTTTTCTTGCTGGTTGTTTTGCTGATTTGTTTTGCATTGGCTTATTTCTGTTATTTTTTTGGAGGTTTCAATTCATATAGGGTTTTTTTACATTGGTTTCTGATACAGTGATTTAGATATATCAAGGTAGACATGAAATCATTTAAATAAATACAAATATTGTAGCCTATAAACCATGTCTACTGCAGTGGTAGAGCACACACTTTGTATATGCAGACAAGCCCTAAGTTTCTGGCACTTCAACTTATAGAATCTCCAGAAACAGAGCTGGGAAAACTGCCGGGAAAATTTATGGCCCTGGAAAACTGCTACCAGTCAAACAATAGTGGATGTGATGGATAAATGGGCTGACTTGATATAAGATAGCTTCATACGTTCTGAGATTAAGGACAATTTAGCAAAGAAATAGTAAGAGTAGTTGAACAGAAAAGTTAATGGATTTAAAAAAGGAAGGTCTGATAATCCAGTACAGACTGCAGAAGAACTTGGTTAGAAGCAGGATTTCACTGTGGAGAGAGTGGCTTAATGGCATAGTGGGAAAAGAGATTGGTATAAAAAACAGAAAGCAGCATGGTACAAAGCAAGAATGCAGGTGAGGGAAATAAAGACACCAAATGAGCATGCACAGGGCAAGGAGACGAGAAAGGAAAAGAAATGAGATACCTTTGGCACTGGGAGGAGGATACAAGAGGGAAAATCCAGAAACTTTAATGGAGATGTGGGAACCATTATTCCTAATGTTGGAAAAGTGAAAAATGGGGGGATGGGGAGGCCACAAACTATTTAATGAACTACTCTTCCATCAATAAAATGGTTTAACTATTTATATTAATATTTCAAACAGTTGCTGATCTCCTTCAATACTTTAGAACTTCAACAATATTTTCAAATCACATTGGTTTAAATGGCACAATTAGAAATGTCTATGTAATAAAAGCATATTTAATACCATAATTGGTCAGAAGAGGTAATACTACAAGAGATTCAACTATCATATCCATTCGTAAACATGAAGCTTACAGGGTAGCATTCAACAGTTCAATCTCTCCCAGTTGAATTGATTACAAAGGGTTGTTGCAAAGATTTAATGGGAAGAATTTAGTGCAATCTGTTGTTAACCCTTGGGATAGGGCAAAACATTTAAACAGATATAATCAAACACATTTCCCAAACTATGGGAATGAATCAGGACAGGTCTGTTTTACGTAGTACTTTCCGAGTCCAAAGGATACAACCAATATTTTTGTACCGAAACTTAAGCATTGCAAGTTTCAAGTGGGGAGCTACGTTAGCCTGCAGGAGTAGAGCAAAACTAGAGTCCAGTAGCTCTTTAAAGATCAATAACATTTCCAGGATATAAATTTTCATAAGCCAAAGCTCATTTTGTTAAAAGAGATAGTGAGCGCTGAATCACAAAAGCTTATGCCCTGGAAAAAAAAATTGGTCTTTAAGGCACTATGTGTCAATTCCCACCCCACAACTTCAAATCCATCAAGGTCATCAACAGTCATTAAACTGTTAATTTCTTCCCATTTTCAAGATCTTTGAAAATTCTGTATCACTAGTCTAGTCATTAGTACATGTAATGACTAACAGTGTTCAACTAAAAGAGGGGAGGATCAAGCCCTTGAGGAGTATCAGAGTATTGGAAATTGCTAGGGTTGTGTTTTAAATTAACTAATAGACTGTAGAAGAAATGCCAGCAAAGAGGAGGTTGCAGAAGTTTAGATGAGCAATAAGCATTCACACCTCACAGCAGAAATGGAGAGGATGGGGGAATGATGACTCCAGAGATACTGAAGTAATAGTGGCAAGGCTTAGTAAATGCCTGTGTACAGGAGGGGGGAAATAAGGAAAATGAACTCCTTCCCAGTTTGTTTAAAGCAGTTTGTCAGTAAACAATATAAAGTGTACAAGAGAAGATGTAGCTTGTAGATTAGAAATTACTGTATCTTGTTCAGCTTTGGATGCTAGCAAAAATACATAGATACGAGCAGGTCAAAGAAGGGACAATACATTTAAGATTAATCATTGTAAAAGACAAATTTCTTTCACTAAAACCAGAATATTTAAAAGAAAAATGAAGGGTGAAAATGAATTCCATCGAGCTTTTTATAAGGTACCAGAGCCAAGGTGACAGAATCCAGTGATGAGAACGGAGCATACCATTAAAAAAGTAAATGGAAGCCTTGCATGCTCCTAGAATATTTCCCACTTATTGAAATAATCTTTAATATTATATCAAGCAATTCTGGAAAACTTTAAAACACCGAAGTTGTCAGTCATAATTACATTCCACTCAACATTATAACAGTGCTGTGTGTTTACGTGTTTTAATTGATTTTTATAATTTTAACTGTACTTTTGTTTAAATGTTTTAATGTTCACTACTTGGTGGATACTGACTCGGTGGAGAGGTGGCATAAAAATGTTTTTAATCATCATAAATACTACTGCACCAAAAATATTTGCAATCCATGGCACAAAATATCATTGTAGAGAGAATTAATTTAACAGAACTGGAAATAGTCACGCTATATACAATAATTGTTTAAAATAGTTCTCCTATGCCCTTCTCGTCCCATCCCATTTTAGATTTTATTTTTACATCTATAAAATCTCTGTAATGGGCACAGTTTGCACTATAAATGCATAGGTTTAGTTTAATTAATGATATTTTTGCTGAAGTAACAAGCAGAAAAACTTATTCTGCATGCAATGCATTTAGAGTTTTCCCCAAATTCTTAGATCAAAATGTTGTCTAAAACTGACCTCTTGAAGAGCAAAGCAGCAAAGAGCTGTGGATAAACGGTAATGTTTTGTATGTTCACTGATACATGCATAAATTCACAGTGTTAATTTACCATAAGTTCTCTGGGGCTGTTTAGAGTTCACAGTGGCTCTCACAGCATTACTTAGGCTGCAAGCCTACTGCAAAGGAAATTCCACAAAAATCAATGGATCGTTTCAAGAAAGCCTTGTAGACATGTTTTTTTAAACACACCAGAGAACTTCCACTGAGGATGTGCAAATCAGCCTCAGAACAACTCAAAGCCCTGTTCACATTAAAGAGCAATTAACTGCTAGTCAATACACTGCTGATGAACCCCAATCATCGTATGTGGGCATGCCACAGTACTTCTACGAAGCTATTTGTATGTTTTCAGTGCAAGTCCACAATCAGAATTCAGAGAGAAATGAAAATCAGTTCACTGGCTAAGACTTAGTAAGAGATTTGCTGTCTGGCAAACGAGAGGTCACTGGAAAGTTTAAGGGCACGTTGCGCCAATCACACATATTTTAAAAGACATTACATTTGAGATGATGGTGCCGCCTGCACTGCTGTGATTCGCCCAGGCATATCGGCTATTGCTCTCAAGGACAGAACATGCAAGTCTGAAGAGGAGCCCTGAGAGCGCCTGAACCAGGAGATAGGAAACCCCCCCCCCCGCATACCCATTCTAAACGGACTGACCGGCCTTCCCCAAAGATGTCCTGCTCCTGCACCACCGCACCCTCTCCCTCCTTCCCCGCAATCGAGGAGCACAAACCCGAGAAGAGCCGCTCGCCACCCAGAGACCCACCCCCCAAAAGAGACACGCGGGGGGGGGGGACAGAAGGAGACCGGAGTCAGCCCTCTCCCGCCCCCCGGTCTGGTGGCGCCAGTGCCGCCGGTGCCTGCCATCGGAAGGCCTGCCTCGCCCTTGCACGCTGCTGGGCTCCCTCCTCCGCTCCTTTCGGAGGGCCCGTGGCTCGGGCTACATTCGCCTCTCACCGCAATCGTTGGCTGGGGGAAGCAGGGCCCGTCCTTCTCGACGCCTCTGAGCCCGGCAAAGGCAACTAGGCCGCGAACGCACCGCACAGAGCCGCAAGCGCCGCCGCTCTACGCGACTGGTCATGTGAATAACCTCCCCTCAGCGCGTTTCGTCAGACTACCGGCCTGCTCCGCGCTAGCCGGACCATAGACATGGGGATAGAACCTCTTCCTGTGTATGGGAGGGAATGTCTAGGAATATCGTTCAGCTCCATGGTATGTCTGTCGCACAAACAGAGGAAATACAGTTTGGGCTGCGCGACCATAGAGCGACGCCAACCAGGGAGGGCAGGAGAGATCGTTGTCTCTCCCCATTTTTGTTGTAGAAAAGAGCAAGAGTCCATTAGCACCTAAAAGTGTAACAACGTTTGTGGCAGAGTATGAGCGTTCATAAGTCACTGATCACTTCTTCAGATACGAAAGCTGCTACACATTATACTAGCCCTTAAGGTGCTACTGTTGGAGTCTTGCTCTTTTCTACTACTACAGGTAGACTAACGTGGCTATCCATCTTGGTTTATCTCCCATTTTTGCTGTGGGCAGTCAATGTCAGCACATGATTGTTTGCGAAGAGCAAGAGCTGCCATCTTGGAGGTTAACTGGATTCTCCCTCCCTCACCACGGAAACGAACAATACGGTTTCGTTCATTTCCATCCCCTGACCCCCTTCCCGAACGTAGCTCAGATCTTTCTTTCAAACAATTAGCGCTGGTAACTTGAAAAGCCATGGTGCCAAGATGTAGTACAGTCCACGGAGAGGTCTATTCCCGCCTCCCAGGGCCAATTGATGTCCATGGTCATGGACTGTTCCTCTTTCAGCAGCTGTCTATCTGTAACAAGTAGACAATAGACCCCTCCCCCCTGACATTTTGTAAAACTGAACAAACCTGAATCTCTGTCTTGCCTTCCGTTTTAAAAAGTGCTTGGGGAAAAAAGTAATAATCATACTTTCAAAATATCAAACTGGGCAAGGGAAATAGCTTATTAGGATAAATTGTTTGCCAGAAGAAGTGAAGACATACTTACCCTGGATGCTTTTTTACCTTTATGTTTAACCAGGAGGATCAGTCTTCATCCCTATATACCACCTACATTAAATGTCTGTCTCTCAAATAATTTTTATTTTAAGACCTAGGGCTGATTCCCACATTGTGTTAAATTCCCACACTGGACTGCCTTGACATAATATTTGGCACACTCACACCATTAACACAACATTTCAGCTGGTCATCTGTGGCCCCGGTCACACAGGCCGGATATTGTGGGGGGGGGTGGCTAATTGCCCCGGGGCAGTTTGATGCGCGATTACACGATCAGACGCACCGGCGGCACACCACCAGTCCTTCCCTCGGCGCCGGCGCGTAAACGAGGGACTGGAGGGGAATGCGCGTACCAGCGCGATCACACCACAGGTATCTGGAGGCAGCCCGTGGCAAACGTTTAAGGCGCATTGTCGGCGGTAAGCCACGAGTGCACTCCACTTCCTAGATGTTGGGGTGTGATCGCGCCAGGATAATCCGCCCACCATCCGTGCCTCTCCCGCGACAACTTTGCCGTGTGACCGGGGCCACAGTCTGGATATTATTTTGTTTGACATGCCATGCTGAAAATGAGTTGCTGTGAGGTAATATAAAGATATAATGTTTATAATAAAACAATTGTATGTTTATGGACCCTTCACATATGCGATATTTATTATATATAACTGCTGTATCTATGAGCCGATCAAAACATTTTAAAAAATTTTTTATCACCACACCTTGAGAAACATTTAAATTTTGACAAAAATGTCTGTTGACAAATTTAAGCTTACAACAACAGGATAAAATATTTGAATCCTGGTATTTCTGATCAATTTCCCTTCTATGAGCACAACCACTTTAATCAAATAAACTGGGGACATCTGATAGGAAAGCCTTTTCAGACTAGTCTGTGAGACACCCAGATTATTTTAAGCACCAGTAGAAACCCATTTATTTTAAGTATCAATTGAAACCCATGTAATAGCTCGACAGTGCTTCTGCCTTTGCCCTATTAACTTTACTGAGGGCTGCAATCTGCATTAATTTTACTTAGAGTCAGATAGCTTTTGATTATGATCCTGTTTTTCATAGTGATTTGTGTATAGGTGGTTTTCTGTTGTTACCCACTCAGTGTGCATTTCAGTGTACAAGTGTCTTGCTTTCCTATGCTCCATTAATTTAAGTCTGCAATCCTGTATATATATACCAAGGAATCTCCACTCCACCACTGAACCCAGTGAAATTTATTCCTGAATAAACATTCAAAAAATCAGGTGCATAATAATTCAAGCAGTATAGCTGGATATCTAACAATACACTGTGGTCGAATAAACCTGTTGACACCCCTGTACTTGTGTCTGGAAATTAAATTCCAAGTACAGAACTCCCAAGATATATCTGGTTGATGGGACTGGGACAGATACCTGAGGGATGTGAGGACTTCATAGCATATGAATTAGCTCTCACTGCATGAGCCTTGTTATTCTCTTTGCCTAACCTGCTTCACAGTTATTGTGGACTTTTGTGAGGAAATCTCTGGAAAGGCAGCATATGATTTTTTTTTAATTTAGAAAATTTACAAAGACCAAGGTTTTTGGAGGTGGGGAGAACTATGTATGCCAACCTGAACTCCTTGGAGATGGAACAGAAATATAGTAAACATTTAGAAGAGGATGGTTGCCTAGTCAGTTTTAATAATGGATTCTGTAAATTACACTTTTTAGTAGAGATGTGTAGTTCCATATGTTGAATGGGGGAATAATCCATTTGGGGGGCCTTTAGGGGCCTCTCTTAGGTGTAGTGGTTAAGTGCGCGGACTCTAATCTGGGAGAACTGGGTTTGATTCCCCACTCCTCCACTTGCACCTGGCTGGATGACCTTGGGCAAGCCATAATTCTGGCACAGCTGTTCTTGAAAAAAGAGCAGTTTCTGTCAGAGTTCTCTCAGCCCCACCTACCTCATAGGGTGTCTGTTGTGGGGAGGGGAAGGGAAAGGAGTTTGTAAGCCACTTTAGGTAGTGAAGGGCAGGGTATAAATCCAATCTCTTCTTCTTCTTTTCTATTTCTATTTTACTGCAGATTTGCAAGGCAAATATTTACTATTTGTGCACTCAAACTGCTTTGTTACAGTTAAAGTTTAGCACACATTTGTAAGGCTGACAGAGATTTACTCCATTATAAATGAGCATGCTGACAACAACAGTGGGGTCAAATATGGGCACGTTTTTGTACTTGGTTTTGTACTTAATCTGTACACAGTATCAGTTATGATGCTCTTGTAGCATTTAAACTCGCCTCTGAAATAGTATGACTTGAGTCATTTGAAGAGTTGCCTCTATACAAACACCTCATGGTTTTGGGCTGCTTCCTCCAAAGTCTGATTACTCAGAACAAGTGTCATCTGTAATGGAAAGAAGGGTATACTAAATGTCACAACAAGTTTCACTGACTCCGATTTATTTATAAATCCTGTTAGCATCTCGGCAGGCATCTATAATCCAGCAGAAAGACAGAAGGCAGCAACTATGTCCAAAATCTTTATGTATTAAAATGTACAACTGCTGGAATCCAAATGATTTGTGATTAATATTCTGAATAGGTCCTATGGTTCTTTTTCCAGTAATGAAAAATTAATTCAACCCTCTCTTCCGTCTGGGTCATGATCAAAGAACTCATTGCTAATAATTTCGCAAAGCAGGGTTTCAAAAAGTCATACTATTTTTTTAATGTTAAAACAATGAAGCTGCGGAGGAGACAGTCTCCGGTTATGAGAACTTCTTTTCTGTCTCCCTCCTTTGCCAAACTACATGCTAATCATAGCAGCCTTCTTCTCCTAGGCACAGTAAACAGTAATATGCCATAAATGCCAAGAACTCCCCTGCATCCACATTACACGTTTCAGCTCAATGCTCCCTCTAAGCTCTGGAGTCTTGTGAGCAAAAATTCCACTTTGTGAGCTACTAGCATTAAAGTTGTGAGCGAGCGATTTGGCTGCTGCATAAATTAGTTTGCTCTGGAGCCATCCTTCCTGAGCCAGGACAAAAATATGTGAGCCGGAGGCTAAAAAACTGAGCTAGCTCACACTAACTCAGCTTAGAGGGAACACTCTTCTCCTTTTCTCCCAAGCCTCACTTCCGCAGCCTCTCCAGGGATTTTTGAAACTACATCTACCAGCATGCTGCGCGCATCGGCTTGACCTTTTCCCTGCTCTTCAGCTAGGGACATGTAGTCCGGTTCGTGGTCTGAAAGCGTCCAGCTACCGAAGAAGGAACACTACAATTCCCAGAACGCATCTGGCCCTCCCTGCCTCCTGTCCCACTCGACCATTCACCTTCCTGTCTTAGCTGAGAAAAAAAATAACCCTGAAGTTCCCAGCGATCAGCTGATCACTACTGACAACAAGGGGGAAAGAAGGCGAAAAGCAGGGCAGGGGCTGGCCCCGCTATCCACCGGGGGTGCCAGGTCTGCGTGGTGGGGCTTAGACATGTCGAGAGTCATACCCTAATTCTGAGGGAGGGGAAAGAACGATTCTCCCCCTCCTTTCCAGCTCACAGGAGGAGGAGACTATGATCTGATTCCTTAGTCACTAAGTCTTGCAGAGAGGAAGAGGAGGAGGAAGATGTCTGCTGTTTTGTAAACAATAGATTGGACTATTGGGGTCCCTTTTATTGGCGATCTGTTTTGTTTCTAGACGTGCTTTTATCGTTTTGTCTATTCATTCTTCCCCCACGATGTTGTTTATGGGAAGCTTTATTGTAGAAATAGTATGTAATATAAAATATTTTCTTATCCTGGTTTAAAGTAGTGTAAGGTAGCTTTCAGTTCAGTAGCTGTGATATACATTATCTATCCTGATATGGATTATAGATGTTTGTTGTGGTTCAGGATAAGGTCTTGTCTTGAGAGCAGTTGAGCTACAAGTGTAAACAAGTGAAGAAATGCAGTCACCCTACTGATTTCCTCTTTCTTTCAGAAGTGGATTTAAAGATTTTAAATAAGTGTCAAATGATCTTGTCTTGAGCAGGTAAGTGGGGAGGTCACCACTGTAAACAAGCTGCTGTTAGTCTGTTGGGTTTAGTAACCTGTTAAATGATAAGCATTGGGGTGAAATACCCTGATCAGATTTGTTTGTGAAAGATGAGTTGTAAAGAATTAAAAGTTGCAATCTTATGCACTCTTACTTAGGAGTAAGCCCTATGGAACTTTACACCTGAGGAAACCTACATAGGATAATACTATGTGGCAATTAGTTTCGTAAAAACCTCTATAAGTACTTTGTGTGATGGCCTCTCTTTTATTAAAAATATGTGCAGTTAAAATAGAGGCTATGTATGAGACAGCATTGCGATAAGAGGACAAAGAAATACTCTGTTTAAGAAAAAGCAGATCTGGTAACTGCCTGCAAATGCTTTGCTTTTTGAAGGAGGAGTTTCACTGTGGGACAAAAGTGGAGGGTCTTCTAACACTGTCTTGTGTTTGGTGTGGATCCTTTGTTTTTCTAATGTTTGCTTTTTCTTTATAATTTTTCTCTTTCTTGTCTAGGTCTCTCAGAGAAGAAAATCTGAGTCACATTCTAGAAACATATCAGATTACTTTTCTGACACAAATCTGACTTAGTTGTAACTTTTAACCTAGAATTTAGTGGGGTCAGTATTGGACCCAGTGTTCAAAGCTGCAGTGTTTACATCTGTTTTAAGGGGGAAATCCACTAGGCATATCATGAGAAAACTGTGATTAATATAAAATTGAGATTAATATATACATATTGAAAGAGAGAAAGAACCTTTGTTGGGTGTCCTCCATGTTAGGATAAATACTAACTTTAGTCCATTGGAAAGCCAATGTGCAAATCTGCTAAAAAATAGAGCAGGTTTCATAAAGCAAACAATCAGCTGTTGGAAATGAGTGCCCAACCTCAAACAGCAGACAAGGGATTAAATACTGCCCTTTTGTGCCAGGAAAGTTATGCTTGCAGTGGAGCAGATGAGGCAACCTTTGAGTGTGATGAGTGTGGTAGTCTGCAGTGCCAGCGGTGTGAAGAAGAACTGCACAGGCAGGAAAGACTACGAAATCATGAACGGACCCGTATTAAAGCTGGTCATATCCCATACTGTGACTCCTGCAAGGGCGCCAGTGGAAATATCATGCAGAGCAATGCCACAAGTACCAGGCAGAGAGCAGTGGTACGGTGCCAGGCCTGCAAAACTAATCTGTGTGTAGAGTGTCAGAAGAGGAGTCATGCTGGTGGAAACAAGCGGAAGCACCCCATTACTGTTTACCATGGTGGTAGACCCCAAGAGGAGGAAGAGGGGATGGATGAAGAGGTCAAGAAGAAGAAGATGACAGAAAATGTTGTAAGCTTCCTCTTGGTGGATGAAACAGAGGAGATCCAGGTGAGCACTGCTGTGAGTTTTGAAAAGTGTGTTTGTGGCAGGGACAGGCTACTCTTGATACTGCTGGTAGGCTAATCAGTTCTGCTTGGTTCGCCTGAGAGGCTCACATCTGCCCTGCCTTGGGGAGCACTCAATGATAACGTCAATGATTTTCTTCTTGGCTCTTACCTTTTCTTGACCCAGGTCCAAAGTCTGCTGTATTCCACTAGCTCAGGTCATTATTCACTGTTTCATATATCATTCTTAAATGGAATCTAGAAGGGTGAAGGTGCTTTTCTCTGCTCGCACAGTAGTTGTATTATGGAGAGTATTAGATTCTACCACAAGAATATTTTACTCACAATAATAATCCCCCTGAACCTGAAATATAAAAATAAACACAAAGTAAACATATATTGTACCTGCTGACATCTGTATACTAGAAATGTCAGAGCCAAGAATTCATCCTATTCAGTGCAATTAAATTACCTTTTCTTGAGTTTCTCAGAAGCAGACATTTATTCAAGTTGCTAGAAAATTCTTTAACATCTCAAGACACTAAGATGAAAAGGTGGGGAAAAAATCAATGGGTTAAGAAGAAAGATGATCCTGTTCTTCTCTAGTATGCTACTCATTTCTGTAGAACAAAATTCAAGTCCAGTGGCACATTAAGACCACTGGACTCAAATTTTGTTCTGTTGCTTCAGACCAACATGACTACCCACCTGAAACTAAGTTCTGTAGTCTGCTATTACTGCCCATGGAAATAAGTATTACGCTTGAAACATGATATACAAATATTGTACATAGGTAAGTTTACAAAAGGCAGTGTAAAATGGTGTGGTAAAGATAAATATATTCACTTACTGAGGAGGAAGTGCTGTCTGCTTATTATAGCAAGGGACTGGAATGTGATATACCTGATTACTGTTCCTGAGCATGTCAGCAGCTTGATTGGCAGTGAAGATGGCTGCTCCCCCCTCCACTGGCCCTAATCTTGTTCTCTGGCAACAGCTTGACATGCAGACATTTTTCAAGTGTTTTGTCCTGTTGGAGATAAGAAGTAGGAAAAGCTTCAAGCAGCTACATTTCTGGGTGTGAGATTGCTGTTAAAGTGTAAGGTGGCAACCATAACAAAAGGTTGAAAACTGTTTAGAGACTTATACATGCCTGTGATTTTTTTTTCCTGCTTATTGGACAAGCTGGTGGTTGTGTTTTCTCATCTCTGGGTGGAAATGAATTCATGTAAACTGGAGCAGTTCTGTTGGCTTTAAATAGGACTCCTTAGGAGTAAAAAGGTTACAGCTTGTGGAAAGTAGTGGATTTCTCAGTAGAGACTTGAGAGGTTGCAGCAGCTTGGACTTCAGTGTGGAAGACTGTTTTTAGATTTAGTAATTCTATTGTTTGATATATTTCTACTGTTATAAGGGGAAAAGCAGGAAAAATAAAGGAGTATCTTTTTGATGCAATGAAGACAAAAGACGGCAATACAGACAGTTTTCTGTCCTGCTTTTGACAGCTTCCTTGTTTCCACCAATTGCACAAAAAAGCTGGTTTCTTATGCAACAAATGTTAACTGTGTTAATTTTGGCATATATGAGAAGCAGCGCTCCATCCACTGGCTTGCTTATTAGGCTATCTGCAGTTTCTGGGTGGCTTTAACATTGTCAGCCAGCTGTCTGTCATGGCTACAGCACATCTGTTACTTGTTCTATGGGAATCCCTACCAATTATGATTGCCAATTTGCAACCTGGAAATTCTGTCTTAAATGGCTTCACAGCAGCAAAAGCAATTTAAAATGTGGTTTCTCACACCAGCATAGGGTTGCCAAGTACTTACCGCAATCCAGTGGGGGACACATGTTCCCCGGCCAGAACATTTCTCCTTGTAATGCACCATGCCGTCACCAGAAAATGACACTGGACGACGCTCGGGCAATGGGGCTGGAAACTCGATGGTACCATCGAGTTTCTGGCCCCATTGTCAGAGCATCGCCTGGCGTCACTTCCTGGCGATGGCATGGTGTGGCACGTCTGTTGTCCCCGCAGGAATAATCCTGCAAAGACGTCTTTGTTCCCCACCGAATCACAGTAAGTACTTGGGGAGCCTGCACCAGCATCTACCTAAACTCTCTCTTTGGGGCCTGTGAAGAAATGCATTTTTTTCTTTGGAGGTTTGAAATAAGCCAAACCTTCACTCTGAGCTTTAAACGTTTTTTCCTCTCTCTCTCTGGGCAAAGAACAGGCAAGGGGGGGGGGGAGTCAGTCAATGGTTTTCCAGGCTCACCTCAGGTACGTCTTAAGAAATGCTAATAGGTCTACCTAGAGACAATAGGAGGGTCTGGTCTCCTCCCCCCTTCCAAGCAGGGAACAGAGATTTGGAGGTGTTAAATAGTAGAGAGGCTTGAGGAAGCAAATTCTGGAGATTTCAGGAAAAGCTTCTCTGACCTGGCCTGACCTGATGTGGTCAGTGGGTGGAGAAACAGATATGATAAAATCACCTTGCAGCGAGGAGATCTGTTTCTTCAGGTGCTGAGTCCATGAGAGCAGGCGGAACTCTTAGCTGAGGTCTGCAGGGGGTGGCCATTGGCCATGCTGTGGCCTGAAGAGCTGAAGAGGTCTTTAGGTAATGGTAAATCTGTAGAGATCTGTAACTTCTTAAGCTAAAGGTGCCTGTCTTATATTTTAACATCTGATGGGGCATGTATAGAGAGAGGGACAGATAAACTGCATTTTGCCTATTTCTCTTGAATTCCTTGCTCAATCTGGTGCTGTGCTAAAAGTATGCTTGTGAATATTCTCTTTTTAATAAATACTTTGTGACTTTGGATGCTGGGACCAGTGTTCCCTCTAAGCAGAGTTAGCATGAGCTAGCTCACAGTTTTTTAGCCTCTGGCTTACACATTTTTGTTCTAGCTCAGGAAGGATGGCTCCAGAACAAACTAATTTATGCAGTAGCCACTCACAGCTTTAATGCCAGTAGCTCAGAAAGTAGATTTTTTGCTCACAAGACTCCACAGCTTAGAGGGAGCATTGGCTGGGACTGTACCACATAGACCTCAACTGTCTTGGACACACTATTTTAAAAGGAGCACCTGGGGGAAGGCAGGCAGTAGGCAAGTGGCTACTCCTCCAGGGGGGCACAAGACAGTAAACCATCCCCATGCTGACCAGGTGCTGGGCCGTAAGAGACACAGTAGCAGGGCCTCTGAACTTGGATGGGAAGCTGGGAGTAGATAACTCACTGAAAATGTCGAGACAGTGTGTGACTGCAATAAAAAAGGCCAATGCTATGCTGGGGGTTATTAGGAAGGGTATTGAAAACAGATCAGCCAATATCATAATGCCCCTATATAAGTCAATGGTGCGACCTCATTTGGGATACTGTGTACAGTTCTGGTCACCACACCTTAAGGATATTATAGCTTTGGAAGTGCAGAAAAGGGCAACTAGAATGATAAAAGGGTTGGAACACTTTCCCTAAGAAGAATGGTTAAAGCGCTTGGGGCTCTTTAGCTTGGAGAAACGACAGCTGAGGGGTGACATGATTGAGGTTTATGAGATTATGCATGGGAAAGAGCAGGTAGAGAAAGAGGTAACCTTCTCCCTTTCTCACAATACAAGAACTCGTGGGCACTTCATGAAATTGCTGAGCGGTCGGGTTAGAACAGATAAAAGGAAGTACTTCTTCACCCAAAGAATGATTAACACATGGAATTCACTGCCACAGGAAGTGGTGGCATCAACAAGCATGGACGGCTTCAAGAGGGAATTAGATAAGCATATGGAGCAGAGGTCCATCAGTGGCTATTAGCCACAAGGTATAGATAGGGACTCTGAGGCAGGTGATGCTTTGTATTCTTGATGCTTGGGGGGGTCAATAGTGGGAGGGCTCCTAGTGTCCTGGTCCCACTGCTGGACCTCCTGATGGCACCTGGTATTTTTGGCCACTGTGTGACAGAGTGTTGGACTAGATGGGCCATTGGTCTGATCCAACATTGGCTTCTCTTATGTTCTTATGAGCCCTCACCCTCCCAGTGGGCAAATCCTACAAAAATCAGGTAGTGGTGGTGGATTACCAGAGAGAGAAAAACCTCTCCAGATGTTGAGAAAAACCTTGGAGGGTAGGGCAGAGTATAACCTGCAGTCCAGAGCAGGCCCATTCTGCCACAGGGCTCATAGCCATAAGCTACTGTGAAGGCTGCAAAATAGGTAGAAATTTAGCTAGTGAAGCTTTTCTTGTCCATTGTCTTGCCAGGAAAAGCTTCACCTACTGAATTCTGCCTATCATGCAATTGTTAGATATACAGGAGCCCTGCCGGTAATGCTAACAGTGCAATCCTAAGCAAAGTTACACCATTCTAGATCAATGGGTTAGAAGTGTTTAACTCTGCTTATGACTGGTTGTTTTAAATGCTGTAATTCCCTACCTTCTTGTTAAAGTGCAGATTTGGACCTCAATTGGACCTCAAAGCATCAGTCAGGCATTCATATGTACTTCCTGAGCCCAAACCGGCTAAGAGAAGCATGTAGTTAAGTCCCGTGCACACTGGCTCACTCTTGTCAAAGAGCTGTTGTACTAATTAATTCTAAAGGTAAAGGTAAAGATTCCCTTGCTCAAAAGCCAGTTGAATCTATGGTTGCGGTGCTCATCTCCGTTTCAAAGCCGAAGAGCCAGCGCTGTCCGAAGACGTTTCCGTGATCATGTGGCCGGCATGACTAAAAACCAAGGCGCACGGAACGCTGTTACCTTCCCACCGAAGTGGTACCTATTTATCTACTTGCAGTTTCTTGCTTTCGAACTGCTAGTTTGGCAGGAGCTGGAACTAGAGACGCTCACTCCGTTATGTGGCACACTCGGGTCTCGAACTGCTGAACTACCGACCTTCCACAGCCTGCAGTTCAGCGTCTTAACCACTTGAGCCACCGCAGCTCCAATTAATTCTAAAGACAGGAACAAAAAGGTTAAATTTTAGGAAGCTATTGGGATCACTTTATAAGTAAACTGAAACCAGGGTTTGCTACTTATGGCTTCCAAACTGTGAATGATGTATATATGTTAGAACTATTAAAATAGAGTGAAAACCAAGAAATAAATCTTTGTCCTGTTGCTAAGGTGTGGCATCCTTAGGCAGGATGAGAAATCGTCAAAGGGCTGTGTGCGTTGTTACTACCCTTGGCTTCAGTACCAGGAAAGGATGCTGAACTTCCTGGCAGAATTTCACCTTTTTGAAGCCCAAAGAAAGCCTTCAAACTCCTGTATCTGCCCTTGAAAGAAATGTGAATATTCCTGTCAATGTTTAAAATGTAGAGATAAGGAGGAAACAAGGAAACCTTGAAATCCGGCTGTTAACCTGTTCACTTTTTTCCAAGTGAAAAGATTTGCATTGGGGGCATGAAGGTAAAGCAGTGCACATTTTCATTGCTAGTGGTAGAACAAAGTTTGAGTTCAGTGGCACCTTTAAGACCAACAAAGTTTAATTCAAGGCATGAGCTTTCGCCATTGCTAGTGGTGTCACTTCCATTGTAAGAGTGTTTATTATTATCATTTGACATACATATGGTTGAGCACATGATCACTTTTTAACACTATTCACTATTTATTGGTTCACTCAACATCATTAAGGTGAAAGGAAGTCGAACCTTGCCTCTAAAGAACTGCCATTCAATGGTAGAAAATTTTATATAGCTTATATAGCCCGATCCACGCATGCAGCCAAATGAGGTAGTGGAGTGGCTGAACCTCTTACACTGGGTTTTCAAGGCAAGAGATGTTCAGAGGTGGTCTGCATTGCCTGCCTCCTCACTAACCAGGGGCGACTGCTTAACGTCTGAGAGCTGATGAGATTGGGCTAGCCTGGGCTATCCAGGTCAAGGTGTACTTCGTTCAGGGGACCATAAAAAAGAATGCCCCCCCCCCAGTTGCAGATTGAATTGGTACAACTCATTCCATCATTACAGGCCTCTGTCATCTAATTCTGCTGCATTTGAATACCCAGCCTCTATTATACAGAGTAGAGATTTTGACTGGAAAATACACAGTTTGGGCTCATGATACAGGGGGCTAGAAATAGATCCTTTCAAAATAATGCTATCTTTTGCTAAGAGAAGGATCAGGAAAATGTAATTTATTTATTTATATTTGCTTTACCCAAAATAATTGTCTTTGTTGGAAATTCTGCATGGAACAAATACGTCTGGAGTTGAATGTTTCTAATTCAGGATCTTGATATTTTTTCAATGACTGACTGGAGATGGAAAACTGCCAGTGGCTGAATTGCTAGAACTCAAACTAAAACGAGGCTGTGGTGGGTGGCAGCCTCCCTGGCTTAAGAGCTGTGGCTTAAAAGGAGCCACTTCCTGGTTCACATCTGTGCGATTCTTCAGAACACACTGCTGGGACCAGAGTTACTTGTTTACAGAAAATGGCTGTGACATCTTCTTACTAATTTAGCTGTAGCAGCTGTCAACTATACATTTTTATCCTTTGAAGGTTGATCTTTGGAATGTGCTGCATATGACTTTATCCATTAGCTCAAAGGCTGTCAATGTATCCAGAGCCTTTAATGGCTATTTGGCCACAATTCAGGGAAGGTTTTTTTGTTTTTTAATCTAGGCCATACATAATGTGAAACTGCTTGTTGCTTTCTTTGTGGTGGGCCAGGAATGAGATCTTGATCGTAATGTGCTAAGTACAAAGCAGAGGCAAAAAAGGGGAGAGGGGCACTCTCCAAAGATGTCATGAAACTCTCTTTCACGAGAATTTTGCTGAACCTGAGTGTTACAGTTTCCATTAGAGTTACACGTTATGTCTGTGGAGCTGCATAGCGTTGGCTGTGGAGCCAACAAGGGTTGGCTCTTACTGTTTCAAAATTCTAATACGAACTTCCTTTTCTTACATTGGAAGGTGGCGAATGAAGAAGAATTTATCAGGAAACTGGACTGCAAACCTGATCAACACCTCAAGGTTGTCTCAATTTTTGGGAACACTGGGGATGGCAAATCCCATACCCTTAACCACACTTTCTTCTACGGCCGTGAGGTTTTTAAAACCTCTCCAGCCCAGGAGTCCTGTACAGTAGGTGTCTGGGCAGCCTATGACCCTGTCCACAAAATGGTGGCAATTGACACAGAGGGTCTGCTTGGAGCTACAGTGAACCTGAGTCAGAGGACCCGGCTGCTTCTGAAGGTCTTGGCCATTTCAGATGTCATCATCTACCGAACGCATGCTGACAGGCTTCACAATGATCTCTTCAAATTTCTCGGAGATGCCTCTGAGGCATACCTAAAACATTTCACTAAAGAGCTGAAGGCAACCACAGCCCGTTGTGGTCTGGATGTTCCCTTATCAACTCTGGGTCCCGGAGTCATTATCTTCCATGAGACTGTATACACACAACTACTGGGTGCTGGTGAGTAGATGAATATCTGGTGCAACGTGGATAATTTGGGATGAATCCGTGGCATGGTAGGTATTGCTTAGGGTTGCCATGTGAAAGATGTGGGTTTCTGTCCTAGGATCAGAAAAGTAGAAGTATATGGAACTGGACATAAAATGTGCCATTGTTCACCGTATGTTAATGGCAGTGTGTAAGGACTTTCTTCACACTGAAAAAGCAAGCAACTTTCCTTGCATTTTTCAGCAGACACTTTGTTCTGAACATTTTGGAAAGTCGTTTAGTGGCCATTGTACTGACACCCCTTCCCCCATGAGAACACCTAATGCATATTCAGGGTCCTGTTATTATTTCTTCTGCTTAATTTGAGGCCCTGTGCTGAGATTTCAAGTGGAGTGTTAAGAGCAGGGGTCCCCAACATGGTGCTTGTGGGCAGGGCCAGGTAGGAATTTTGCCCAGCAAGGCTTCTTATTGGCCATTGGAAATTTAATTGCCTGTGCAGATTTTTTTTAAACGTTGCTTTGGGAGCAGCTGCCACCATAGCACAAGGATCTTTACTATGTGACTGAAGGTCAGCTGCTGTAGCCGTTTTGTGACTGTCTCCACCTCCAGCAGCAGCCATTTTGTGGCAGCCATTTTGCAGCTATGCCCACCACACAGTGTCAGAATTCTGAAGGTTCCCACAGACTCAAAATGGCTGCAGACCCCTGGTCAAAAGTATGGTGATGATGTCCTACTATGCATTTTCCCCCTGTCCATTCTACCTGCGGACTTGGCACTCACTAGGGGCCACTTTCCACACTGCGCAGCAACGGACCAGGTTTACCATGGAATTTACATGCTTCAGGGAGTCAGAGCCATCTTGCTGTTGATCCTTTACATTTTTTAGATGTGCACTTGAAAAAAATATAAGGTGTGTCTGGGATTGGGGGACACACCTTGTCACTGCCCAACATGGGAGAAAAGCCCAGCCATCCTGATAACCATGCTACAGTTTGGGAACTTTAAGGGCCCTACTGCCACCATCGGGGGCAGTTATTGCCTCTTGAAGTCGGGGGACGAGGGGGTGAAGCAGGAAAAAGCCACCTGATTAGGGTTGTCAGGTCTTCCCTGGCCACCGGTGGGTGATGGGGGGATAGAGTTGCCATACCCAAGTTGGGAAACTCCTAGGGATTTGGGGATGGAGCCTGGGGAGGAGAGGGACCTCAGTAGGGTACAAAGCCATAGAATTCACCCTCCAAAGCATCCATTTTCTTCAGGGGATCTGATCTTTGTAGTCTGGAGATGAGCTGTAATTCCGGGGGATCCCCAGGTCCCACCTGAAGGCTGGAATCCTCACACCTGATTGATTTCTTCACTCTTGGTCTCCCGTGAGATTTTCTCTTCTTGTAAGAGGTGGGGAGGATCAAATGAGCATATGCAGCTCACTACACTAGCCCTCACAAGGGTCCAGACTGAGGGACAATGAGAAGGGCAGTACTGGTCTGTCTCCAGGCTATGGGAGAGAGGCTGAGGAGAGGATAAATAAGGTAACAAAAACCCCTTCCCTCCATATTTGTGTCCCTGCAGGCCCCAAGGGAGTCTCAAGGCAGGGGTGATGGATGGGGATTTAGACGCTCCCTAGACTCAAAATAAAACTGGCCAGTCAATGGGACCAACGTCCATATGATTAAAATCAGGGCCTAAATACGTAATATTGAGGTTGGGCTTCCCCAAAAAGGCTATTCCTTCTCTTCTTTCCCCATTCCTTGTTTCTTCCTTTTAATAGTTTCATGCTAGCGATATTAAGCTCTATGCAATCTACGTTACCTTCTCTGGGGTATGCATGGATAACATGGCTTATGTCAGGAGACACGCGTTGTTCCCTGCTGAATGCACCTGCTTCCATAGGTGCAGAGCTGGGGAAGCCTCCTTTTTCCCTGTGCCTCCAGAAGCTCCTGTTGTCAAGCAGCCGTTTGTATGCTGAATCTGGCAGCTGCGTCTTCCTGACCACAATGTTCTTGGCAAAAGGCTAAGACCAAAGAATTTTGCTCAGTCTTTCCCTGCCCTTATTTTTCTGTTAAGCAACAAATATAATTGGAAAAGGAACTAGCCAGCACTTTGATGCCACGTCCTTGTCTTGTTCCATAAAATTAAATTACCCAAGAAGGCAGGAATGTGTGTCCTGCAGGCAGGTATAGTCAGATGCTGTTACTGGTAATGCCAGCAACCAATAGTGACAATAAACAGTAGATATGTAGACTGCAAAGACTGTCAGTGTTTGGACACAAAAGTGACAATAGGACAGTTTAGAATTTTGGAAGAAAGATCCATGCCAGTTGTTAAGATGTACTATGTTCTCATTAGGACATATCCTTGAAAAATGGATTCGATCTGTACCTCATTCTGAGGGCCACCCTCAGTTAGGGTTTCTCTTCTGGCCTTTGTAGTGAACAAGTTCACATGAACTGATCTGTATGGAAAAGTTCCTCATGGTGTCTGCACAGAGATTGTAAGCACTGTCTCTCACAAACTTGGTGCTGGAAACTGGCATATCTTTCTGTAGGCAGTTTCATGCCTAAGCATCCAGACATTTGGTTGCAACCTTGTGCATTAGCCTCGCTAGGGCTTATGAATAATGTTGCTTCCACATGGATGTCTTGCTCCGTTTTGTCACCAGAACTGGAGTGGGAGTTTTTTTCCTTTTTGGAGTTTCCACTTACTGGGTTTTCCAATAGTTTGCTTTGATGTTTTCCAAATGTCGTTTGATATGACCTTTTGTTTGCATGCATTGTATACAGAAAGGTGCACATTTTTGAAGTTCTACCCACAACACTATTTTCCTTGCTGCAGCCTTCCACAGCTGCCATCCCCCCCCCCTCTTGTGCCACTGGAGGGCATTGTTAGGGTTTTTAATGTAATCACTGATGGCTAGATCTCTTTAATGTTATGGTGCTCAATTGCCATGATCTACAAGGAATGAGGAATTCTCTGCTTTCATTTTTAAAAAGTAAGTATCTAGCTCTGTTGTTGCAGAAATACACCTTTCCACTTATATCTCCACACCAAAAAGGGCTAGATAATTGTTTGTTTAAAATATTTATCTCCCACCTTAGCACCTCAAATGCAACATAGCTAACAAACCAAGAGTTGTAGGGAGACGAAACCATCATAGCAATTCATCGACGAGATAAAAGCAAATACCCAAAGGGAGCTCTGACTCTCAAAAGCTTATACCCCCCAAATCTTCCTGGTCTCTAAGTTTGCTTCTGGATTCTTATCTGGTTCTACTGCAGACCAATATTGCTACCTTCAAAAGCTAAGGTAAAAAATATATATATGCAGGTTAAAACTTTCTGGGCTGCTGGTGGTGGTGTTTTGAGGCGAAATTTTAAGGAACCAGCCCATCATGGCAGTAGATCATTAATCATTATAATGCTATAACACAATAGCAATTACTGATTTTTTTAAAATCCTTCTGGTGGAGCAGAGGCGGCAATATGGCAGCTGTTGGTGGACAATGCCTTCAAAAGCTTTAACTTACCACATGTATATTAGAGAGACCTTTTAGGTATTTTCTGGACAATTTCCTCAGGGCCCAGACACATTTTTTTAGAGTGCAAAAAACAAAACATAGTGGGAAAAGTCCTTAGAATCAGTTTTCAGTATAACTTTGACTATCCCATCTTTAATGCATGTAACTATCTCTTAAAAGATTACAAAAAGTCTGTATTGTTTGTAAGAATGATGTAGTTTAACAGCAGTTGTTCATGTTTTGTTTATTGTTTAATATACTCAGATCATCCTTCTGAGGTGCCTGAGAAACTCATCCAGGATCGGTTTCGGAAACTAGGCCTCTTCCCTGAAGCTTTCAGCTCAATCCATTACAAAGGAACAAGGACTTACAACCCCCCAACAGACTTTTCTGGACTCAGGCATGCTGTGGAGCAGCAGCTAGAAAATAATACCACCCGTTCTCCCCGCCCTCCTGGAGTTATCTACAAAGCACTCAAGGTGGGTTAGAAATTATGGATCACTATTGCTGCCTAGTAGAAGCTGTCCACATTCCCTGATTGAGGCCTAAATCTTTAGCTCCTACCCATTATTCATCTATGTCAGTTTGTGCCCTGGTGACAGATGGCTATCTTCCAATTTGCAGATTCTTTTAGCCTCATTATTATTGTTATAAGGCAGGATCACATATAGACCTTGTACCCATAGATCAGCAAGAGTACCTGCTCCAAGGCTTCCTAGCCAGTCTAAACTGGGGGAGATTTGCTTGAAGATTGCTTCTAAGGGTTCTAGGGTGTGTGCAAGCTTACCACTGATGTTTACTTTCTATGCTTCTATAATAACTTTATTGTTCCACCTGCACACCAATTCCAGTTGATAAAGAACCAGGCTAGAAGAAACTTTGGATTAGGTTTGCCCATGTAAATTTTTCTTCAACAAATCTAGTTTTTATAGATTATGTAACCCAGAAGCTTAGTCTCTGAAGCTTAGTGCTAGTCAGAGGTCATTTCGGGGGGGATTGCGGGGGATCGCAGTTCCCCCGGGTGAGGTACGGGGGCGGGGCACATGACGAAGCCCCGCCCCCCGCTTCCGGCCACCCCGTTTCCGGCCCTCATTCAGCCAGGAGGAGGCAGGAGAAGAGGGAGGGTAAGTTGCTTCCTCCCTGCCTCTCCCCACCCCTGCCTGCCTGGGGCCAGGGAGGGCCTTCGCGGGGCTTCCTTGCACTTCCGCCGGCCTTGCAGGTCCACCGCCAGGCCCCTCATGGGTGTGTGGCCTTATGACACACTTCCGGTGATGTCAGGGGGGGGTGGCATATGCTAATGACTTATGCTAATGAGTTCCCCTAGCTCTTTTTCTATGAAACGACCCCTGGTGCTAGTGATAACCCATGTACTATGAAATGCATAAGCAAGCCAGGACCATGCCATTGTAGTACAGTGGGAAAGGTCTGCATTGTTGCCAGGGTAACTGAGAGTAAAGATAAGGTCTCCAGGTAACAGCCTACTTTCTTGTCACACCTTGATTTTTCTCAGATCCCTTAAATGGGGAGATGCTTTTTGTGTGTAGTTAAGCAAAGATGTGACACCTGGAACTAGTGGCAGTCTAGAGCATGGCTCTTGAGGGGAAAATATAAGGGTTGATAAAAAAAGGTATAAGAACAGTGTCTTGTGTATTTTCAGAGAAGGATGGGAGAAGGAGGAGTTTTACATTCTTCTCTCCAGCTCTACTCTCTTGTTCACTCCAGCTCTACTGTCTTGGTATCACTGTTTTCTATACACATACACCCATTACCATGAGTGTCCACAAAATCAGCTCAAGGTTATATTCATCCATGTTCATTTGTTGAATATCTATTTATGGATGGATTGTGATATATACAATTTTTAACCATAAGATGTAATTTCTTAGTGGGAGGAGACAAGGTGTCCATCTTAATTATAAGCCATCTCTTCACATAGACTTTTGTATCCAAAGTGACTTCAGTGGCTTTAATAACTGTGCATGAGGGAGTGACTTGTAAGGTACAGCCAAATAAGTGGGGTGCTTTATGTTTCTGTGGAAATTTCTTCATTTTATAGATCAGCTGTTTCACAAAATGAACAACAATGATTGAATGCCATTGCCAATATAATACAAGCTTGGCAATTTAAAAGTTATGATTAATGGTTTTTAAGGTGATTATCCATAGGATCATATGGGAGAATACCTGCATGTTTTATTGATTTTTATACAGTGGCAGAGGGATAAAACAACTGCTTAAAAAGTTATGAATTCACTTGATTGGCTGTGCAGATCAAATCAAAATCAAAGCTAAAGTTGTTATTTGTATCTCTCCTCTCACATGGTGGAAACGATACTGTAATCACCAATCTGATATGGAACATAATAAGTAGTGAAAGTGATGCTCTGAAGCATGACAGTCAATCTGAGGTACCCAGTGTGACCTCCGTGGAAGAGAGTTAACTGATGAAATAAATGAGTGGACAACCATGTCTGTGGCATATTATGCATAACGCTTTGGGAGTAGTGAAATCAGTATGTCAGTAGTTTTCAGTGCTTTTGATCCCCCCCCCCTTAATTTTAAACAATGTAAGGGAAGTCACATGCTGCAAATAGGCTGGAGAATTTGAATGGATAAGGAATATGGACAGAAATTCTCAGGCCCCTAAGAAATTTAACAATCTTTTCAGTCCTTGCACCTAAAAATCTGATTCTGACCTCAAAATATTTAGTGCCGATGCCAAGGAACTGGAAACCTTTCTGCAGTTTTGGGAGCAAGAACAATTGTTGCTATCCGGGACTGAGGAATAATCATATTCTGCTTCACTTTAGTGATTTTACAAATGGGGGAGCCTATGAGACTTGTGGGATGGTGTCTCATTCTTCCTGCCGCCACTCACTTGCCAGGCCAGCTGGCCCGCCCACCTGCCTGCCGGTAGTGCTGCCGCCACTGTGTCCCCCTGCCTGGCTCACACAGCTGTTGGAGGGGTGCTGTGATGGCTCATGCTCCCCCTCACCTGCTGACTGCCCACCTGCCTCACATAGTGGTGTATTTTATTTATTTATTTATTCGACTTGTATCCCGCCCTCCCCGCCAATTGGTGGCAGTGGTGGTTCCTGCTCCTCCTCTCCTGCCTATCCATTGTATTGGGCTGCAGCCTTTTCCCCTGGCTTCCTTATCCTTACCAGCAATTCGAAGGGCAGGGGGACACAGAGACAGATGGCAGCTCCACTAGAAAGATGGCAAAAAAAACCCCAGCCTGGTGAGGAAGGGATGGGGGTGGCTGAGGAAGGTTGCTTCACCCATTTCACATGGGACAGTTGCTCCCATTAGAGGAGAAAGAGCTTTCCCTCAGAATGGTGGCCGTTTCCTCCAGCACCATAATGTTTAAACATTTTTTTAAAATGTGTGTGTGTGGGGGGGGTGCTGTACAAATATCTCCCTATTCTTTACCTGATCCCAGTGTGTGGATTTAACAATCCATACATCAAGGTCCTGGTTCAGAATTAGATATCGGGTTCTGTAAGCTGTTTTGTAGATTATCAAAACTGTTTTCAATAAATACATTTGGAAAGGCAGCCCCAACGGCAGTAATGGAAGAATTACCAGCCCCACAGGAAGCATGTCATTTATATCTATCTTTCTTAAAAAAAACCCTAAAGGTTGATTTGATGTCGTGGCTTCTCTTGCATTCTCCTGCAGGCCCTGAGCGATCGGTTCAGTGGTGAGATCCCAGATGATCAGATGGCCCACAGCTCCTTCTTTCCAGACGAGTATTTCACCTGTTCCTCTGTGTGTCTCAGCTGTGGGTAGGTGGATGCAGATCTGTCAGTGATCTCTTTGATTAAGATCTACAGTGCCAGATTATACGGTTCATTGTGCTGTAAGGGTTATAGCACCAAGGACATCATCCAGTTTTGATACACAGTTCTCTGCCACAGTCCCTTAAAGGGTATGTTCAGAATTTGGCTGCTTTTTCTCACCAAGCCATTCATGCTGAAAATGGGTCACAGGGATGTCTGCAAGGGGGAAAAAATCCAAAACAATGAATTGGATTTTGACATTATTATCTTATTTATTTCATGTATGTCCTGCCTCTATACTATCATGAAACTCGAGGCAATATCAGTGTGCTTCCCTCCAGGCACTGGCCAAACTCAGACCTGGTTGGCTTCTGGGAAGTTGCTGCATCACATCCCCATTCTAAATGAGTGTGAATACTTTTTCCTCTTTTTCATACTTGGTGGAATCTTTCATTCTTGTGTTCTCTCTCTCTTGCTCTCTCTCTCTCACACACACACAAGTGCACACAGAGACACAGAGGGAGGTTTATTGACTCAATGACAGTAGGAAAACTCTCTAAATGAGCCTCTGCCCAAGTTTCTGATGTTGTACTGAAATTTGTTTTGCTGATATTCAGGATTTTCTCTGAACTTTTCTTTGCTTGATTTGAAATTCCAGGTGCGGATGTAAGAACAGCATGAACCACGTGAAAGAGGGGGTTCCTCATATAGCCAAGAGTCGCTGTCGATATACCCATCAATATGATAACAGAGTGTATACCTGCAAGGTCAGTGGAGCAAGCAAACTGGGAGATGCAGAAGGTTGTACATAAGCTATAGCAGACTTGTACAACTTGTAACCCACCAAACTGATGATGGTCCCTCATCCTGTCAGGTTCGTGACATACACCCCCTCTCATTCCTGCAGTCCCAGGCAGGCAAGAAGAAACCCCCAAGAAGTATTGCGCCCTTGATGGGGAACAAGTTAGGCAGTTTCTATCTTGTATTGAGGAATCGTAATGTAAATTTGCAGCTTTTCTTTTTAATGTTGTTATGGTTTCATACAGATGTTCACATAATGGGAATTTCAGTTTGCCCCCATTTGGAAAATAGTTTCTTGGAAAGCAAACTTCCTCTTCGTGTGCACACAAAAACTGTCCTTTGGGATTTGAACTTTAATGGATCTCTTCCATTCCAGGCCTGTTATGAACATGGGAATGAGGTTAGGGTGGTGCCAAAAACATCTGCTTCCACTGATTCCCCTTGGATGGGTCTTGCCAAGTATGCCTGGTCAGGGTAAGTAAGGGAGTGCGAAAGGACTGTTGTCTTCCTTGCTTTATAAACTCCTGTTCTTGTCACTTGTCGGGGTGTGCTTGAGTGATTGCCTCTTTTTCCTGGCTGCAGGTATGTGATAGAGTGCCCCAACTGTGGAGTTGTGTACCGCAGCAGACAGTACTGGTTTGGGAACCAAGATCCTGTGGACACGGTGGTGAGGACAGAAATTGTGCACGTCTGGCCAGGAGTAAGTCTGTTTGTGTGGACTAGTTGTTTCCCTAGGCCCACAGAAAGAAAGTGTTCAGACTGTCACAGTGATAAGCTTTTTGTCCCTTCAGTGTTAAAACAGTTTCATTCCAGAAGTTGTGCACTGCATATCTAGATGTTTAAAAGCTTAGCTACACTTTGAAGCATGGATTAGAAAGCCTAAGAAGTCTCTGTTTCCCAGACAACAAAAGGGTTTGCTGTATTACACACTCTTCTTGCCTCCTCTTTAGAATGCTGCCATGTCTAGGACATGGATTTCAAAGCAGAGAGAAGAGTGGATTGGGTCCTCACTCGTACAAATGACAGGCGTTTTCAGAAGCAGATCTTGCCCGTATTCCCTGAAACTTTGTGCAATGTACCACTTGGCATGGGGGCTGCAGTGAGGAGGAAGAACTGGATAAAAATCACTGTCTTTTATTCATCCACGGTGAAGCAAACTTGGCTCCAGGCTTGCTCAGCTCATGCAAGGGGAATGGAATTCACTTGTGTCCCCCCCCTTTTTTACTGCAACCCCCCCTCCTCTTCCTGTGCTGCATGATCTGGATCTGGAGGGTCCCTGAGTCCTCAGCAGAGGATGTTTGGGAAAGTGAGGAAGAGCCCTTCCACAGCCTCCTTCAGTTTGGGGAAGTTAGAATCCAGTTCAAGGAGCACAAAATACGTCGGAACCTTTTGTGTCCTCAGTTAGAGCCATTGTTTTGAAGTCCTCAAAAGAAAGTTGCATCGTGTTGCGAGACATCATGGTCAGCAGTGGGAGTCTTATTTACAAGGACTGTATTTGTATCTGGTTGTACCAGTAAAACCATCCCTGGTCTCCACAGGGTGGCATACATCTTCCCGTGTTTGCTTTTTAATGGAGGGTGGCATATCAGAAGCAGGCTCACATGATTAGATCGTACCAAGTGTCCACTTCTCTTGCAGATGGATGGATTTCTGAAGGACAACAACAATGCTGCCCAGCGCCTCATAGACGGGATGAACTTCATGGCGCAGTCAGTGTCAGAGCTCAGCCTGGGACCCACAAAAGCTGTGACATCTTGGCTGACAGACCAAATTGCTCCAGCCTACTGGAAACCCAATTCCCAAATTCTGGTATCTAACAGCCACTATACTTGCATGCTGATCAGAAACCTGCCCCTATTTACGTGGTAGTGTATTCACTTTCCACAACTTCTCCATGTCCCAAAATGATGAAAATTATGGTTTGATTTGATGAAGATCTTTTGTGTGCTAAACATCTGTTGCCCTCAGTGTTTTTTAGCCTTGCAGATAACTGCTTGCCTGGGGAGAGTAAACATGCCCAAACAAGACAGTCCTGTATGCAACTTCCCAAAAGAGTCCTCTCATTTTCCTCTTGTTTCCCGAAGAGTGAGAGGAACAGCTAGGCATTCCATGTCTAAAGCTACATACTAGTGGGCTTTTTCCTCCTCCTTGGTGAGGCAGGAAGCGGGGGGGAAATCCAACTTGGTACCTCTGGAGCAGATGCTCTGTCTTATGTAGGACAGAGAAAGGAATAAAAGGAGAGTCCTGCCAGTCTTGGTGCATTTGCCTAGCTGGGTAAGTCCTGCAGTGTTGGCTTCTTGTCTTTCTGTCTCTCTCCCCCTGCTGAAGAGAGAGGGACAGAAGGGCAGTGTTATACCTGGCAGACCTGTTCTGTTCTTCACCTGGGCTGAGCCAGCCATTTAGCTACGTTTGCCTCTTCCTTTTAAGCAAGAGAGTATACAAGCCCATGGTGTGCCTTAATAGAAGGAACGAGCTGGCCACTATGATGATCTCGCCCTCTTCCCTCCTTTACATTCAGGATTTTCCTTTCTATCTTCTTTCTTGTTGAGCAGCCCTTTTACCTATTTTCTTCTTTTTTGTTTGTCTATCACTGTCCCAACGAGTCACTATATATATATTGATGCTGGCCCAGCCTAGGCAAGTGAGGGAAGAGACAAAATCACCTTCTTATAGTCTGCTTTTGAAATGGCACAAGAGGCTTTTGAAAGTTTAAAATAAACAAAATGTTTTCTTGAACTTGGAGGAGAAAAGGTCAGGTGGAATCAGGTGTAAGATGTATGAGGTGAACAAACAGATAATAAAATTGAGGTAACTTTGTAGTCACACAAACACTAGATAATTTGTTGCTAACAAGTAAGTGTTTCTGCTATTCAACAAGGTCTTTGAAATGTTGAGGCTTTCTTTTTATTTTCTTTTTAAACACTCAAGCATAGGTTTCTGAGTTTCACCAACATGTAACATATAGAAGGCAGGAATATACAACTAAGTTCCCAAAATCCTTCTTGATACATAGACTCAGGGATTACTCCTCATTACTAGAAGCTATTTCCCTTTTTTGTTTTTGTTTGAATGAGGATCCTCCTCGATCTACTCACTCTCTTAGCTTCCTTCCCAGTCCATAGTCAGTGCCACCCTGAGCCTTCGGGGTAGGGCGGGAAATAAATCCAAAGATAAATAAAAAAATTAAAAAACTGTCTCTTCTTCAATTGTCAGTTCCCAACTGTCATTTCTTAACTGATTCTCTCAACAAAATTCCGTTCAAACAGCCTGTCACTCAAAGGTTCTCAGCCTCTGTTAGGCATTAACCCTTAACAGTCTGTCACAGCCACTGTGTGAGAGAGGATGCTGGACTAGATGGACCACTGGTCTGATGCAGCAGGACTCTTCTTATGTTCTTAATGCTTCTGAGGTTACCTGGTGGTCTGGTTTCTCTTTCCTGTTCCCAGGTGTAAAACCTTTACCTCTGCAAGGGAACAGTGACCATTTCTGTTTCTCTGGAGAAAGGGGATTGGGACAGTTCTAGTTCCCTCTTGAATTCTGGAACTAGGGAGAGACAGTATGTCGGGGTGTATGGAGGAGAAAATATTGTGGAATCTCACACTGGTGAATCAGATGATGGGTGACCAATATTGCCCTGCTTAATTACAAGGCTCATGTTAGATGATAAGCCACTGCTATCTCTTTGGAAACCACTATAGTACACTTTTGTTGCACTCAAAGCGTGAGGCTTCAGCATGAAATACTCTGTCTAGACCTCCTTTCTTTGGTGTGTTGTTTCTATATTTTAAGTGAGTTGTCTACTTCTTTCCAGTGACTGGTTACCTACTTGCTAGAAGTACTAGCTTCCATAATCCAGCACTGGTGTATATAGGCAATCTGAACCCTTGGGCTCTGATTCCACATGTTGACAGTGATGGTGAATCTGTCTCTTCCTGTTCAGGTTTAGTGAGCTAGAAACTGGGTAGGTTGGCAACACTAAGGTGACACAATTATGGCCTCAGCCATACCAGCTAGAAAAGCTGCAGGTGTAAATTTTTATTCCTGCTACTGTATTTTGATTTTAAAGTTATCTGCACAAAAATGGAATGAGTTGCATTATGGCATCTGGCTGAAAGGGCACTATATTGAATTGGTGGTGGAACTTCTGTCATACAATGCATTTGTGGCTGCAATGTATCAGGCCTGTAGAACATCCCACCAACCATGTCAGCGCTTGACCATCACCTGGTTTCCAGCCCCCAAGGCAGACACTAAAACCAGGAGGTTTATTGAATCTCAGGTGAGTCACCACACATGGCTGCATTCAGCTTGCTGAATTGCAAAATGTGCAGGCCCCTGCCATGTGCAGTGTGACTTGATTGCTCAGCCCAGAGCCAGCAGCTGCACTGTGGCCCCTAGCTGCTCATGCTAAGCCTTATGGCATTTGTGTCCAAAGAGGTAACATCTGGGACTGCAATAAATGCAGTCCCACATGTGTGTCCCACATGTGTGTAGATCCCCCTGAATTATTGATATTTTCAGAAAATAAACATTAAAGTAAAACCAGACCTCCCCAAATAAGGGGTCGTCACAGGGACCATTGGCCTTTTAGGGAGGGATGTTTGTCCACAGTGGTTCTATAAAAATCATAGTGTCCCTATTTAGATCGGTCAGTTGTGAGACTGAAAATACCCCATCTCCTTCCTTTGTTTTCTTGTATAAGCCAAACAAGAAGATAACCCAACAGGTTCTTTTTGTTTTGTTTTTCAGAACTGCAAAAAATGTGGTATATCATTTAAAGATAATGACACTAAACACCACTGTCGGTCATGTGGTGAAGGTTTCTGCGATGGTTGCTCATCCAAGACCCGCCCTGTCCCAGAGCGAGGCTGGGGACCCACACCTGTGCGAGTATGTGACAACTGCCATGACAGCAGGGGTGTTCAATTAGGTAATCCAGTTATGTCCATATTATCCTACAGCTTTCAGTTAGGGTAATGCTGAGTCTTTTAATGATTGCTATTGCCATCTCCCATTTGAGAACAAACTGTAACCTGGTCCCTCTAGGTGCTGCAATCACAAAAAGGGGCGCAGTGCACAGCAGGATAATAAAGCAGCACAATGCTGGGCTGCAAGGAAGAACCCGGCTCTTCCTGGTTTCCAAATTTCTCGATGTATTAGAATATAAATATTCTTTCTCAGAGGAAACTACTCAACATATAAATTGAATTCAGCCAGATTCCTGATTTCTTAATCTCCTCCAGTTTATTCCAGAGTAAATGTATTTATGCAACAGTTGTAAGACAACATACCATTCATGTTTAATGGTCCTACAGAATAATATACATGGTGTATGCCTTCTGCTAAGGAAGAACATTTATGACTTCTCATCATTCTGGTACTTGAGTTGCTCCATTATTTACAGATGCTCTTACTGTAGCAGCAAGTTGTTCTAGTTAAATAACATGGCATTTCAAAGCAGGTGTCAGAGAATATGAATCAAGATGAAGGAGAAAATCATAAAGGTTTGTTTTTAAAATAGATTACAGTGTTGATCCAGAGTTGGTATCCTGAATCCACAAACATAATGTGCAAGAAATCTCAAGGGTACTAATCACATACTTTAGTTGATTTGTCTGAGGATTACTGTGATCTTACAGTGAATACTGCAGTCATCTTTCCTTTTCCTATATTAATGGGTTAATTGTTATTTACACAGTTCCTTATTCTGAGATGAAACAGAGCTCTAAATTTTGATGGATTCTTCTCTGTGCATTTGGCTCACTTTAGCCTCTGTTCTCTCTCACATTTGTGTACAAACCCAGATGTCTAAGCAGATACCCCAGGATAACCAATCTGCTATTCATGCAGTTTGGTTTAGATCCAGGGTGTATACTTATTAAACTGATGGGAAGATACCAACCTAGATATAT